ATAAATCTCAATTTCTTTTTTTTTGGCGTAAATCTCTGAGATTTAATACTTTAATATTTTTAAGGACATAAAAGTAAAGTAATAAAAGAGAAAGAAATTTCAAAGAAGACTGCAAAATTCTACAGGTTTCAGTAAAAGTTAGCAAACCGTGTAAAGTGCATTCAACAGTATCTTGATAGGAAACTGCAAAATTCACAGAAATTGGAAATATTCGTATATAACTATTTAATCCCAAAAAAAGAATTTTTGTGAATTGAGCTTCTTTAAAATTTTATGAAAAAGCTTCTTTAGAAACTTTCTTTTCTCGCTATTGTAATTTCACTGTACAACATCGTTTGCATTTCGTTAAATGCAGGTCGCTAAAGGCTTTTAGAGTCGTTAATTGAATGTCGATTTAATCATCGATTAGGCGAACGCACTTTCGTCAGCTCGATGAGTCAGCTCGTTGCTATTCCTTGATCTTCTCCATTTCAATTATTGTAGGAACTGCACGTGTGCCGATAAACTCGCCGGCAAGAAAAATCTTTTTCTCACGAGAAGAAAAATGACCGTGATGATGATGTGAAAAATAAATGTAAAACAATGTTCGTAACAGTCAAGTAATTACACGCCACAATTACATTAATTGTTTTCACTTTCACGAAGGAAAAATGCCTTTTGTCACTTCGTTCAACTTACAAAGTTACAAAGTTTTCCTTCCTGCCCAGACAACTGGCTGAACAATTAATACTTATTTGCTCACGTCAAGAGCTGAAGTAGCTAAAACACAGTAGAATTCATTTGGAAAATAGTGTTTCAGTTATTTGGAATTTATGGAATAAAAGATGGCTTAACGAGTAATTTAATTTGAACTACACTGTAATTTCGACTGAAATTTCGTTGTTAACGTGATTTAATCATCAGGCAGACTTTCGTTAAATAAAAGCCACAAATCATCATCTTTATTTCATTTACGAAAATATCCAGACACTTAATATCTTTCGAAATGTTTATTCTCTCGTTTATTCGAATACCCCTTTTTCTTATCGTACAATGAAGTTGCGAAAAATTCTTTCGAGAAAGCGAATAAAATTAGTAGATTCCAATTAAACTGCACGCTAATTATTCAGCTTGCACATATCAAGTGTACTTATCTGAAGTTGCAACAGGTTGTAACTTCAACATGCGCGCGAGCGTTTACATATTGCTGCAAGTCTTCTTTTCCTTTCACAGGTTCGTTCTAAAAAGACACTTTACAAATTAGTAATCTAATCAAGATACTGTGTTGAATGCACTTTACACGGTTTGCTAACTTTTATTGAAACCTGTAGAATTTTGCAGTCTTCTTTGAAATTTCTTTCTCTTTTATTACTTTACTTTTATGTCCTTAAAAATATTAAAGTATTAAATCTCAGAGATTTACGCGAAAAAAAAGAAATTGAGATTTATTACTAAATCAAGCGCGATTAAAATTCGTCGAAATATATTTACTTCATATTTTGTGGATTTATTCCTGGATTCTGCTTTCGCTTTATGAACGAGCATCGCTCATTTAAATTAAGCGACAATTTGCAAGACATTTCCAAGACTTCTTTAAAGTCGAAAAAAATGAAACTCGAAAGGCTACCGTCGATTTTTATTCCAAGTTTACTATTACTTCATAAATTATGAAAAGCTCGATTCGTGCCAGATGCTTTCTTCGAACCAAATTAAGAATTAAAAATCCGAAAACTACGAACTATTCACTTCCCTGCGACGAAGGGATAAAGAAACTTTCGAGAAACTGACTAAAAATGTTGATTTCATCTCGAAACTGTTATTACTAAAATTATTAAAAATTTTTAATTTTAGTTGTATATTAAAAATTTACTTGAATATATAAAATTTCTAATTTTCGGTTGTTCATTAAAAATTTATTTGAACATATCTAAAAAATTTTAATTTTGGTTGTTTATTAAAAATTTATTTGAATATATCTAAAAACTTTTAATTTTGGTTGTTTGTTAAAAATTTATTTAAACATATCTGAAAAATTTTTAATTTTGGTTGTTTATTAAAAATTTATTTAAACATATTTGAAAAATTTTTAATTTTGGCTGTTTATTAAAAATTTATTTAAATACATCTGAAAAATTTCTAATTTTGGTTGTTTATTAAAAATTTATTTGAATATCTGAAAAATTTTAATTTTATTAAAAATTTGTCTGAACGTATTTGAAAAATTTTAATTTTGGTTGTTTATTAAAAATTTATTTGAATACATCTGAAGAATTTTTAATTTTGGTTGTTTCACTGTTACATATAACGCAACGCCCGTGGGAAAAGTGAATTTGCGAAACAGTGGTGAATAGAGCTCGATTATTCGAACAGTGAGTGGTCTTCTCAGGAATGGAGGAGATTGGGAGACAGGCAAGACGGAGGCGACCGCCCGAAGAGATCGAGAGGATCTCGCGTCGCCGCGCGTTAAGGCGACTTTCTCGACTTTCGAACGTTCAGCCGGTCATCGGACCTCGAAGTGAAAGTAAACGAAGGAAGATGTGATCCTCGCGACCGTGGCATTCGATCGTCATTTTATTCTTGCTCGAGGCCGCCAGCCGATTGCTGGACCGTGAACTTCGTCAAGCCTGTTTCACATACGCAGAATTGCAAAATTTCCATTGTATAAATTTCGAAATATATAATCGCCTCCTTGATGATTTCTTTCAATTATTTTTCAACATTCTCTCGTGTTTCTTAAAAAGGTTTTTTTATAATCGAAAACTTTGTGAAGTTTGAAGGTTGTGCATAAGTATTTGGAAACTTTTGAATTATTGTGACGTCAAATGCAACTCATATAAATGTTTCTTAAGTGTAGTAATTAGGCTAAAGTCTCTGCTAAAGAGTGACTTCAAGTATGATTCTTTGTGGAAATTTTAAATCAAAATATCTGTTTCTAAACTGTCTAAAAATTCGAAAATTTTCTTACGAAACGTTCACTTATTTATTACAAAATACGGAACTTGGAACTGCAGCAAGTTAATTAGTTCGTCAGTCGTGACTATCGAAACAACAAAAGTACCAAACTTTTAATTTCAGAATTGCACCAAGTAAAATTTCAATTTAAAAAAGTTTTATGTCGCCTGTTAAAAGTGAAATCGGGACATAAAAATTTAAAAACTGTAGCAGGGTTAAACGTAATGAATGAATACTTCATCACGATAATTCAATCTAATGGTTGAACGAAATATTACAGATTTACAAAGAAATATTACAAATATTACAAATTTACAATAAGATCGATCAGTTTAACTTCTGAGAAACGAAAGAAAGTAGACTGAGTATTTTACTTTTATTTTGAAATCACACGATCACCTTCTGAGCGATCTTGCGCTTTAGAAATAAAGACAGAATATCAAATTTCATTTATTACAAAGATTATACGACCATTGTGATGTTAAAACAAATTGTCGTTCGGATAATTTAATAATTTGTCAAATGTTAGACGCCTGGACGCTAAAATAAATGTACGCAAAGTGACAGTGATTTTAACCTAGTGATAATATTAATTCTAGGAGTAAAAAAATAAATCTTTATCATTCCCTCCGATATGTACAAATTAAAATTCATCCACGATGTTAAGTACAATCACAAACTAAACGATGCAGAATGTACTTTCAGAGAGGAGACAAGTTTGTCTCGCGTCTCGTCGCGAAATCTGTGGTGGATATAAAGAAAGATTACTTTCACCTAGATGCCCAAGAAACATATTAGAAGCCGTGCGCTAATGTCGCTGCGATATACAAATATCTTGTAAATACTCTCCTGCGTTTTGCATTTTCTAGGTCAGTGCACTCGAGACGATATCATTAATAAATTTAAATATTCACGTTTATAACAAATAAGTTGTTTGATCTCTTTTAGGCGTCCGCAGTTCGGAATAAAAAAAGACACATTGACTTTTAAGTCAGCGTCTTTCGATCAACGAATCTAATCTTCTCACCGTGATTGAGGTATTTTGTAAGTGAGAGCAGTTTTCAACTTTCAACCGAGGGCATCACCTCGCTGAACCTCAAAGTTTCTTAATTTCGAAATTGGCGAAACATGATCTAATTGCACATGGATCCGTGCGTTCGTCCTCCATGCATGCCATTGTATTACATGAAGCGACGTAGTGAGATCATAAATTATATTGGTAGAAAAAAACGTTGGACTTCAAATTATAAGAATCACTTGTGAATTGATATTAAATATTTCTGAACAATGTGTGAGCATTATGTAAAGAGTAACAAATTATATCTTTAAAATACGTTGCATGTTGACATAGAATGTCATCTAGGAAGAATTTTGCACTTCAAATTATAAGAATCACTTGTGAATTGATATTAAATATTTCTGAACAATGTGTGAGCATTATGTAAAGAGTAACAAATTATATCTTTAAAATACGTGGCATGTTGACATAGAATGTCATCTAGGAAGAATTTTGGACTTCAAATTATAAGAATCACTTGTGAATTGATATTAAATATTTCTGAACAATGTGTGAGCATTATGTAAAGAGTAGTAAATTATATCTTACACAAAATTCTTTAAAATATGTTAATATAGAATGTTATCTAGAAGGAATTTTAAACTTCAAATTATAAGAATGTGCATTATGCAAAGAGTAGGAAATTATATCTTAAAATTCTTTAGAATATACTGCATGCTGACATAGAATGTCGCCTAGAAAGAATTTTGGATTCAAGTTCATAAGAATCAATATTAAACGATATAAATCAATATTAAAATATTGTGAATTAATATTTCTAACGTGTATGAATTGTGTATGAATTCTATTCTTTGGAACACGTTGCAACAAGACAATAATAATTGAATCAACACCGTACAATCTCAAAATGAAGTTTCAAACTCTTCACCTCCCCTCCGTGTCAACTAATTTTCAAATATACAAATTTCGGCGTCATGCGATCTCGCTATATCTCCTTCACCAGCAACGATCGTGTGAACACCGCGAAACTAGCGAAAACAACTCTCAACGACTAACCGTGAACCGTTTGCGCGACAGCCGGAAGTGCCACGTTCCCCGGAACAGAGAACGCGTGATAAGGCGGACTGTGAATAGGCGCGGTTCTGAAATCGTGCGGCGGTTCCACGTTGTCTTCCTTGACGTCGTAGCCTTGCTTCGGCTGAGCGAAACTCGCTGACCAGCCGTTAAGACTACCGGAAGTGGCGGAGCCATCGGTCGTGTAACTGGCGGTCACCTGCTGGCTTTGGTAACTGTTTCCCAAAGCGTTGGCTGCGTTCGACAAGAACTGTGGCCACGACTTGGTCATCTCCTGGAGTTTCTGCTGATACTCGTCCAGTGCCACCGTGTCTTTCAACACGATTCCCTCTTTGCTGCCGCCGATGGTTGGCGACGGGACGCCAGCCGGTAACAGGACGCCACCTTGCGGCTGAGAGACGACGTTCTTGTAGAGATCGGTGGCCTTCTGCTGCAGTAGGAGAATCTGATCCTTGGCCGCGCTCAGCTCGACTGGATTATTCACAAGGAGATCCTTCTCGATCGATCTTGACGAGTAGAACTTGTTGCGATCGTCTTGCCTCTCGTCGTAGTTCAGGGCAGTTTCCGGATCTGGGAAGAAGGTCTCCGGCTGCGGGGCCTCGTACGACGATGGTGAATAATCGGTGTCGGACGAAGAGAACGGGGGCGACGAATAATCCGACGTTTGCTTGTGCGAGCTTGGATTCCTAGAAGAACGTCAGTTCAAAAGATAATTCGATTGCGAATGCATTCCAGCGGGGGGATTGATGGTAGTTAAACGCTGTTCTGCTTTCGAATGATTTGTGGCGAAACACTTGTGCCCGCGTGTGGTCAGTGAAAGTACGTGTAAGTATGTGTAATTGCTTAATAACCGCCTAATGACTCGCAGTCACGTAACTGTAGGGGCAATGATTGTTCAAGAAAGCACGTGAGAAAGTCTTCCTTTTTTTTCTTTTTTACAGATTTTTGCTGACCTAAGTACTTTCGATATGTCGAAAATTAAATTCGTTGACTTTAGATAAGATACAGATTAACAAAATAACAGAATTATATACAGAAGACTAGAAAACTAGAAAAACTAGTTTATTTTATTAAACTGAACACATTATAATTATTCTATCTTTCAAAAGAATTGATATTTTTATCGAAATTGACATTGATTTGTCGAACTATGTATTGAACTTAATATTGAGTAAATAGTATGATTGGTTTGAGATCGCGAACGTTGTGCTACTTGGCGACAGTAGAATGTACGAGTCAATGGTCAGACACGACCGCGCGTATACTTCTACTTCATTGAAGAGTCCTAACTCGAAACTGATTTGTTCTAAATTCCACGTTACGCGTAACTTTAATATGTAAATGTTAGTGAATTAAAATTGTTTAGCACAGTGCATGATGTTAGTGAAATGAAAATAAGTATTTTAGTACTTCGCCTTTTGCGAAAGAATTTTGGAAATTGGAACGCGATTTCTTTTCTGGCAGTATCTTTATCTCCATCCTCCGAACGTTAAATGATTCAAACGGGCAAACCTGGATTCGCAACATAAGCTGCAAATACTTTTCCACATTCACAATAATGTAGTGTCGATTATTATAATTAATCTGTAGTTATAATTTTAGTTTATGTTTAAATATAACGGATGGCCTGTTTGTTGATCATAGTTTGTTGATCATAGTATTGATTATAATGATAATATTATAATATTATAATAACTATAATACTATAATATTATACAACAAAGATTATAATAACTATAATATTATAATGATAATATTACAATACTACAAATAAATAATAACTCCGTAATTAATTTTAATAGTTTATATAAAAATATTATCAATGTAACAAAATATATAATTACTAATAATAAATATCAAATAACGAAGATTAAATAATGAAAGTTCAATAACGAATGAATAATTAACATGACGATTGCAGTATATATAAGTTGTTCTGTAAATATTTCCATGGTGATAATGAAATTACTAACAATTTTTAATTATTCTATTGTTTATATTAAATACACGACGGAACGATTTAATGAACATAGATGTCGTTGATCTAAATTCTTCGATTGTTTACTTTATCCTTCACTTTTTATACTTTACAGCAAATGGATAATTATCATATGAATACAATAAATACAATATTGAGTAAATAACAACAATATTATACGGTATTGATAAATATTTAGTAAATAAATACAGTATTGATAAATACAATAAATAATATTGATATACGAATAAACGAACGCACGAATAAACAAATAACTGAACGAACGAACGATTAAGTGGATAAATAAATGAACGAATAAATAAACGAACGAAGGAATGAACGGAAATAAACAAAAATGAAATATGAATTTCTCTCACCCTGTCCTGTCTTTAAATAAAGTCAATATTCTCACCTTTCGCGACCGAGCGAGAAGCTACCCTTAATCTGATCGTAAGGGATGTAACCTTTCCCGAAGGACACTCCGTGATTGATGCCCTTCCCGTAAGGGATGTGCACGTGGTTCACATGTTCGTAGCCTTGATCAAAGTCATCCCCTCCATGAGGAGCCGGTGGAGTTTCGTGGATAGGTTTCTTCGAGCGATAATACACGGGAGTGGTGTGATACTTGTGATAATGAACCTCGCCGGCGTGGGGCGATTTTCTATAACGCGTTGAAGAAAGTCGCCACGATGACGGTCCGAGGCTGCGTCTTGTTTGCTGTGGAATCACCAGCACTACTTTATTCCTGTGAAACAGAAAGGTACTTCATTAAACCATGGTCTAATGTAACAATCGTAGCATTTAGTCGTGCGTTTAGTTTTGTAATTTTAGCGGTAAGGTTAGCTTGTGTTAGTAGTTTGATTGTATAGGGGACAGGGTCAGATGAAGGCGAGAGGCTAGATAGCAGAAGACATCTAAACGTCAATGGGCTCGAATATAAAAAAAATTTATAAATAATATTATAATATATAATATAATATTATATAATATAATATAATATAATGTAATATAATATAATATAATATAATATAATATAAATATAATATAATATAATATAATATAAATATAATATAATATAATATAAAAAGATATAATATAATATAATATAATATAAAAAGATATAATATAATATAACATAAAAAGAAATATAAAAAAAAGAGTGCGTGAAAGAAGATAGTTGAAGAGTCGAAAAATCGGAGAGTCAAAGAGTCGAAGAATCTTATAGTCGAAAAGTCGAGGGATCGAAGAGTCGAAGAATCGAAAATTTTAAGAATCGGGTCAAAGAATCGAAAAATCAAAAGCCAGTCAATAGAAACACTCGTTCTCGGAAGAATAAGAGAGAAAATTATTGAGAATAGTCGTTGAAAAGAATTGTTAATTGATAAACACAGTCGTGTAGTTTGGTTTCCTCCACAAACGATAAATCAGAATTATAATAGGATTTAATCGTAGTTTTAATCGTACGAGACAGTCCTAATTTGACACGGTCTGGTAGTAAAGATTTAGTAGTCTGGTCATGAAGATACTTACGCGTGGGTGAGTAGAGGCTCGCTGATTGCTAGCAGAAGAACGCAGAATGTCTGTAAACATTAATTAGAAATTGATAAGTTTTTCAATTGAGTTGAACACACTCATGATCAGAAGATTTCAATTGCGATTTCGTGGAAACTTGAAACATTCGAAGTGAAATTGAACATATAAAGAATTTCAAATTTACAGCAATTACTTTCAATTTAGAGAGTAGAATTTGAGATTAAAAATTGGATTACTGTTTGGAGGGAAATTTTTTGCCTTGTTCAGGAAAAGAAAATTACTATTTCGTGGATGTGTTCGGTCGTGCGATCACAACGAGTCACGGAGAACAGGACTGTGTAATAAGAACTAGATCGTTTGTGCGTAAATGTACGAAATCGGGTGTGAATCGTGATTAATGATTTGGCCTACATCGAAACTCAATTGAAACTGAGACCAGCGTTTCTATTCTGAAATGTTAAAAATCGAACTTGCTCTATTTATCCTCATTTTCCCTTAATTTGGATCTTTTGTGACAATTTTATGTTGTGATCCGAGGCTTGCATGTTAAGGTATAGTTAATGATAGTAATTAGTAATTGAATGTAAAATATCAGATAATTTTTGAGACGGTGGATACAATCAGCATTGTTATATTCCGATTATTATTTTAATCGAGACAAGAACATTTTCCATTCATTTCATACTCAAAAAGTGAAAACATCTGATCGCCATTGTTACGTTATACTACTTTTATCATATAAATTAAATGTACTTTATACTACATCATTGTAATTGTTATATTATGTTCATTACCTTAATTTTGTCGAGACAAGAACAAGAAAAAAAAACAGTCTCCATTTATTTTATATTTATTAATATCTGATTAATTATTTTATATTTATTAATATCTGAATAATATTGTTACGTTATACTACTTTCATCATATTAATTAGATATACTTCATACTACATCATTATAATTGTTATATTATGTTCATTATCTTAATTTTGTCGAGACAAGAACAAAAAAAAAAAAAAACAGTTTTCATTTATTTTATATTTATTAATATCTGATCACTATTGTTACGTTATACTACTTTCATCATATTAATTAGATATACTTCATACTACATCATTATAATTGTTATATTATGTTCATTACCTTAATTTTGTCGAGACAAGAACAAGAAAAAAAAAAAACCATAGTTTCCATTCATTTTATATTTAAAAAGTGAAAACATCTGGTCACCATTGTTACGTTATACTGCATTCATCGTTTTATAGATAAAGATAAGAATAAATAATACGATGCAAACATACAATAAATCACGAGATATAAAAATTCAAATCCATTATCCAATTATTTAAATCGACATCCATTATATAACAAATAATTTCAATAAATCGATCCTCCCAAACAAGATCAAATCTCTCCCAAATCTCTCGCAAAACTGAGCCAATTTTTTTAATAAATTTCGCTTACCAATTTGCACTTCATGTCGCGAGTCTCGCCGAGAAAGAGGCCCCTCGGTGTCAGACAGGAAACCTTGGAAACACGATGATAAAATCCCAAGAGGACTCGTTGTCAAAATCGAAACACCGCTCCGTGTGCTGCAACCGGTGCGGACAAATTGCGGGAGGCCCGCCCGAGCCTGTCCTCTTTTATACAAAAGATAAAAAGAACATAATCGCCGATGGATCCGCGATCCATCTCCCACCGAGTGGGCTGCAGCCCTGGAAAGAGATCCGGCCGCTTGGAATCTCCGCGAGGATAGAAACCGATTGGTCCGAGCGGGGGCCTAGCGTGCCGATACGAAACGGACAGTCGAGCACACGGACGCCGGGCATTTTTCTTCCTTTCGGGGGGAAATCGGCACTTTCTTCTCTCTCTCTTCACGCGTTCACCTAAGCGGACGCGCGCCGTTGTCTACCACGCGAGTTAGAACGCGATTCCGCGGGCGCCGAGTCGCGCGACCGCGCCTCATCCGCGCCGGCGAGCGTTGCTTTCCAAAACGCGACCAACAAGAACGAGAGACCGTCGTTCCACATTTTCGAGAGTGACATAGGAGACTTCGTCGAATCGAAGATCCTGGCGAGAATGTGTCGAATTTGGATCAGGCAACTTTGCGCCACTGAACGTTCTCTCCTTTCTTTTTTTTTTTTTCTTTTTTTCTTTTCATTTGCGATCTCGTTCTCCATCTGAGAATATCGTGCATATTTTTTTTGTTTTAGAAACGAGGTTTGTAAATTTGAACGTACTTGAACGTTTTCTTCAATTTGGAATTGTTCTGGATTTGCCGATCAATAGCAAAAATTTGTATTACAGGTGAAGAAATGAAAAATAAACGGTGTCGTTTTAACTACTGAAATATTTCCATCGTCAAACGCATAAGTTTAAAGATTAAAACGAATAAATAAATAAAGATTTGCGATATCATCATCAACCCTGGATTAAATTGAGCTAAATGAAATATAAATGGTCTCAACTACTGAAATATTTCAGCTATCATCAAACGCATAAATTTGAAGATTAAAACGAGTAAATAAATAAATAAATAAAGATTCGCGATACCATCATCAACTCTGGATTAAATTGAGTTAAATGAAATATAAATGGTCTCTAAAATATTTCAGCCATCATCAAACGCATAAATTTGAAGATTAAAACGAATAAATAAATAAAGATACTATCATCAAGCCTGGATTAAATTGAGCTAAATGAAATATAAATGGTCTCAACTACTGAAATATTTCAGCTATCATCAAACGCATAAATTTGAAGATTAAAACGAGTAAATAAATAAATAAATAAAGATTCGCGATACCATCATCAACTCTGGATTAAATTGAGTTAAATGAAATATAAATGGTCTCTAAAATATTTCAGCCATCATCAAACGCATAAATTTGAAGATTAAAACGAATAAATAAATAAAGATACTATCATCAAGCCTGGATTAAATTGAGCTAAATGAAATATAAATGGTCTCAACTACTGAAATATTTCAGCTATCATCAAACGCAAAAATAAATTTAAAGATTAAAACGAATAAATAAATAAAGATACTATCATCAAGCCTGGATTAAATTGAGCTAAATGAAATATAAATGGTCTCAACTACTGAAATATTTCAGCTATCATCAAACGCATAAATTTGAAGATTAAAACGAATAAATAAATAAAGATACTATCATCAACCCTGGATTAAATTGAGCTAAATGAAATATAAATGGTCTCAACTACTGAAATATTTCAGCTAGCATCAAACGCATAAATTTGAAGATTAAAACGAATAAATAAATAAAGATTCGCGATACCATCATCAACCCCGGATTAAATTGAGCTCGAATAAAAATCTCGTTGAATCGATTGCATAGTTTGGCACATTTGACAATAAACGAGCGTTCAAAATCTCGGGTCTTGCTTGAGTGTCTTTAAAATAAATGACACATTTTTCTAAATTTCTCGAACCCCTTTGAAAAGTAACGCACGACGTCTCTCGATATCCCTATCGTATTTCGAATGATACTCGCGAACGCTCACTCTGGATATTATGTTAAACTGGTTCATCCCTATTGAAACGAAACGGAAGAAAAGCAAAAAAAGAAAAAACATCTAATACTTCTGACGTTGATGCGTGATGGATGGAATATCATCAGTCGTTCGTGCGTTCTCCATTAGAAAGTTCTTCACTGGGTTTATTCCCATTTACAGTCCAAGTGAATATTCTCTGTTTCGTTCACTCGATGAACTTGCCTTTTCAGATTTTCGAGAAAAGAAAACGTATCATATATTCTTTTTTTGAAATTATTCATTACTAATATCTTCAAGATGCACTGGCAATCAGATAATAATTCGTAACTACGTTTGAGACGAACGAGTGAAAGCGATCACTATTGAAAGTTCAGTCTCGTTATCCTTTTTTTTTTTTTTCTTTCGATCTAACGTCTGCAATCGCGTTGGTACATCGCTGAAATATCGAGCGTTTCGCGAGAAATGACAAAAACTAAATCTTGATCATAGCTGAAATTCTTCTTTAAACAGCGTGACGAAGCTTTTAAAATTCTTATCACTGACAGATGTTACAATGCGATAACAGTGAAATCACATAAGTAAATCTCTATTTGAGAGCTGTAAGCTTGTATACGATCGCTTTCTAACCATCCCTCACGAGATCTCTATCTCGCTCTTAAACAAAATCTTAATGGAGCGTACGAACTCGAGTTGTGAATTTTTCTCTCGAGGAGTGTCTTCTGATTAATTCGAAATTGTATTATTCTTGATCATTTCAAATGAATCACAGCTCGTCCAAGCGCAAAGTAGTTTCTTCACTGTTACTCGCAAACTTCTTTTTGAGAACTTTCTCTAACACGATAAAAGTATTTTTCACACTTCAAATGCTTAAGTCCATTTTAATTAATATTAATTTTAATTTTATAATTTTAATTTTATAATTTTAATTTTATAATTTTAATTTTATAATTAATTTTGTTTAATCAATGTGCGAAATTAAACCAATAAATACTTCACAAGACGTACGTAAGTATCGCCACCCCTAATTATCTGTCTGATTTATTACCGACGTATTATTCTTCTTTTCGAATTCATTTCTATTCTGATGCAAATCAAGTGAAAACGAAGTGGGAAAGGAAATTCGGTCCGAAGAGGAAATTCTTTGAGGAATTTAACAACGGATGCATACAGAAAGGGAAATTTTCATCGATGCGAGTTCAACGACTCGGATCGTAAAAACGGGTAGAAAAAAAAAAGAGGGAAATAAATTGCATTGAACGATCGTGCGAGCAATTTAACGAGCTACGAAAGTGGAGAATCATTCGCTGCTCCGAAGTTACTAGATACAAATATCGCGGAGAGAGTGTAGATTCGCTGCTTGCAACAGAGAAATCCAAGAAATCTAAGAAGTCTATTAAAAAATGTACGAACAGAAACGCCAATAGAGGCGTCAATAGAAATAGAGAAATATCTGAGTATATATCGCAACGAATCGCGACCAATCTCAGGCGAAAGATTCGATCGCTTCGCGGACGATCGTTTGAACGAATAACCGAAGATCAAGATCGATTCTCGACTAATACTTGTCGTTCGTTCGATATTGTCGCTTTCTATCGATCTTGAAGAACGATCGTTAGGCTGACCAGGGTCGTTAGAAATGCAATAAAATCGGCGAACGAGCTTGAATAGTTAATCGTTAGTCAGAGAGGGAAGAACTTCCTGGTTTCACTCGCTTGGAGATTTCACGCGAATTTTATGTTAAAATCATGATTTATTACGTCAAGAAAAACTGGACAGGGGACGGAAGGAGATTTCGAGTTTAAACTTCGTCACCGATCTGTAATTTTAAAGTGTATTAATATAATATAATATATTATAATATAATATAAATATAAATAGAACTATAAATATAATATAATTATAATTAATTATAATATAATATAATATATTATAATTATAGTTAATTATAATATAATATAAATAGAAATAGAAATAGAAATAATATAATATAATATATTATAATTATGTAATATAATATAAATATAAATATAATATATTATAATTATATAATATAATATAAATATAAATAGATATGAGATTTACTATAAATATAAATATTTATAACATAATATAAATATAAATAGAAATATAAATAATATAATATAATATAATTATAATTAATTATAATATATTAATTAATATAATTTTCTTGCAGAATTATATATATATATATATATATATATATATATATATATATATATTTAATTCGTTATTAACTTGAGATTTTGACCGTATTATTTATTTGTATTTGTACGAAAATCAGCTTTTTTACGACGCTCCGTTTCATTCGCAGGATTTTCGTTTTTTCGAAAGTTGTATAACATAAGTTGTATTTAATCTGTTTATCTGTTTCTTCGTAAAGAGGAGACGGAAGAAAAATTTAAATAGTCATTGGACAATCGTTCCTTCTGAGAAACCATTTTGTGGTCAGCTTCAAGGCTGTTCGTATCGTTGCAATTTTCTTCCTTGTACTATCATTGCTTTTTATCTCCTTCGCGAATTCACAAATTGAACTTTCTCCGTTTTTCCTTCTTTTTTTTTTCTGATACAGAAGCTGCTCAAATCGAACAATTTGGTATTTTATAGTCATAGTTATGTGCTCAAGTAAAGACACATAAAGTTGATTGAAAAACTTCATTAAATCTCTTTCTCTCTCTCTCTCTCTCTCTCTCTCGTAGATCAAATTTTAATTTTGATACTATCTACAGATTTCTGTTGTCAATTCTCAAAAAGAAAACTCCATATTATATTCCAAAATCATTAAACTTCTTGTATCTTCATTTATAAAATTTTACAAAATTCATGAAACATGTTAAACATTAAATAAAACAGGAGACCAAACATAAATTGTAACATGAATCTTCTTTAAACTATGCATCTCAAATCATTGAACGTACGATCTTCTTGTATTATTTAGTCTCTGTGATCTGTAAAATTTAGAAAATTTATAATACACGTTAGTAGTATAAATAAAGTAGAAAATCGAACATAAATTCTAGTATCAATTCTTCCTAATCCAATGGCTTATTAACAATAATTATTTAATCACTTCAAATCACTAGACACGCAACCTTCCTCTATTAATTATCCTCTGCAACCTATAAAGTTTACAAAAATCAAAAACATTGAATAAAACAGAATGCCAGACGTAAATTTCATGCACGCCAAATCATCAAACACGGAGAACATTACTTGTTCTCCGTAATTTACAAAATACACAAAATACTTTCATACACTCTCTACACAGTCATTCCTTCGAGACTCTATCCTTGGATCATAATACTATAACACCACGTAATCCCAAGCACACTGCCTACTTATGTCAGCCAGCAGACGAACAATATCGAGACAGGATTCGCAGCTTTGCGTTCAGTCCGCCTAGCTCGAAATGGAATTCATCGAGTAGAGAGTTCACTGTCACGGTCTCGCGATCTACGAGAAAGAAAAGAAAGAGGAGAGGGCAACGTGTTGCTCGTTTTAGTTTTCGCTAGCAGCCTACCCGTTGGAATGCACGCGCAATTCGGTCCAGTCGAGTGTGCACGTTCTACGATAGAATGCGAGGCGATCGGTTTTTCTCCCTTTCTCCTTATCGTCTGGCGCGCCCGTGCACGCGATCCCAAAGCGACAGATCGGCTTACCACCGCGATTTCTACGAATCCTCCCTCTGGATCCTCCGGCAGGGACGATCGAGCGGATCGGTTTCGTGAAAGGGAGTATCTTGGCTCTGGTGAAACGACGCGGCGAAGAAACTCCGAAGATTCTTTTCGACGAATACTCTCGAGCTCGCTACAGGGTGTCTATAAAGTCTCTTTACAATTTGAAAAATTTATCACGAAGGAAAATGGAAAGGCAGACAAGTGGAAATTATTGCAGAATGAGACGTGTGCATTTAAGTTTCTTCTTTGCCTCATTTAATATACCTTTGTATGGAACAAAGGTACGGGGCATTAATAATCTAAAGCAGAGAAGATAACTGATGCCATTGATGAGGGTATGTTACAGCGAATATGGCAAGAAATCGAGTACCGTCGTGCCCATACAGAGGTGTATTAAATGAAGCAATATAAAAATTTAAATATATACGTCTCATTTTGTAACAATTTCCACTTATCTGTCTTTTCACTTACCTTTGTGATGAAGTTTTGAAATTGTAAAGAGATTTTATGGACACCCTGTATAATATATGATGGTTACTAAAAAAATTAAAGGGTTTGAAAATGTCATAAGCTTGTGGGCAGGAAAATGGTGGTCATTTGAGAGATGTTGCTTTTGATACTGAAAATATCCATTAATCATGTCTCCGAACAAAAAAAATAATGAAACATTTAAAAACCATGTGTTTGTAAAAATTATTTTTGTTTCATATCATTCAGTCTTTTACCCTGTACAAATTTATTTATTTTTCCTGCTAAATTCATGGCATTATAGATCCTTGCTTTCTTCTCTAGCCAAAGGATCCTATTCTCCAAGGATGATTTTAGTTAGAATTTAATGAAAAATTGAGAGATAATTCGTTTCCTACAAATTTGTGTTAATTGATAAATGAGTGATCGGATAAACGACATTCCTACGTGTATAAATATACAAATAATAAATAAACAAATAAACAAAGCAGTGAATTTCGTCGAGTATGAACTTCAGTCATCTTTAAATTAATTTCATGTCAACAGTTGAGTTTGCGTTCCCGTGTAAATTTCTATACACTGTACGGATTTTGTTTCGAAATTTATTTCGTTCGGCTACGTCGGTTAAGCTAATTGTGCATCCCTGCCTCGAACTTGAACACGCAATAGACATCACCGGTGCTCAGGATCAAGTTTAAGATCTAGTTTACAATATATTACAGCGGGTACCAGTTAAATTGCTACCATAACAGCGCTACGACGCGACGTGAGACGTGTACACGTAACGTTTCGAAAGGCGTCGCAGCTTCTACACGATAATTTACGATGATTCCGACTCATCAACTCAACCGTTGCTGAAACATGCAATCTGTCGCCACGCGTTGAGTTAGAAAAATATTTGAAACGTGTTGAAACAGTTCATATAAAATATGTTTGCATTTGTTTGCAAATATATGGAATTAGAACTGAAATTCTTTTCGAAATTGCGAATATTTGCGTTTAATCGAAAGCTGTTCGTTTACAAAAAAATTTAACTTCAAAACGTGTGTTTTTTTTTTTATTTATTTCTCCTTTCTTTGGAAATTGAATTTTTTAATTGGATCTTCGAGTCGAATTCTTCGATCGTTGAGAGAACGATTAGGAGAATCGTTGGCCATCTTTGTTTTATCTAACTCTTCAAGTTCGATTCTTATTATGCAAATTCATAGGTAGAAAGTATATCTTGGATAAAGTCAGATTCGGCGTTGATTGAACTATTAATTAACGTTAGTCACGCGCTCGTACTAGATAAGATTGGTAGAAGTAGTCTGTCGAGTTCATCGAGTACCGCAACTTTGGAAAGCTTGATACCATTTGATACAGCTGACACGCAATCAATTTAATTGTGATCGATTGCAGACCGATATCTGGGGGACAGAACGACGCTTTCGAGACGATCTCGAACGTGAGCGTGTGAATCGATTCTCGTGACGAGCAGAATTGCATTATGACAATCGATCTGTCAAGAAGACAATTACACTTGAAATGGAAATCGACAAACAAGTTTCAGTTTAGCGAGGCGAATAACATTTCGTACTGTGTTCGCACGCTCACTTATATTATTATAGAACTTCGAGGAGGAATTGGAAGAAAAATAAATCCCAACTTCTAGAATCCAGATCTTTTCAGAATTTAACATCACAAGCTTCAGAACACGTGTATACTTTCTTTTATACACTGTCAAATTAACAGAATCACAGTACAAATCGAACCACTGTCCCTTGCAATTAATTACATCTCTCAAAGTCGCAACAAATCCGAAAGAAACAGAAAGGAATCCAACAAAGTACAACAGAGTCTTCAAAGACACGGGGGGGGGGGGAAATGTCTCTGTCGCGCTGATCATGGCACTCCATTTGAGTATCCACTCTTCGATCATTGCCTCCAACAACAACAATAACAACAACAACCGTGTGCAAAAAGTGACAGACAGAGGCATCGTCCGAGACGCGGATCTGGTCGTTCACAGACGCCAGAGACGAGTGAAACGGAGCGAACCGCGAGAACCAAACCACCTCGTGTTACGACGGTGATCTTGATCTTGGCCGTTCACCCGGCCAAGTGCACAGCTTTCATTAAAAAGACCACAGAACGCACGGTGGTGTGGCGACAGCGAGGAAGAAGAAGACGGCGAATAGATTAGAACAGATCGGATCGGAACTCTGGGGGGAAAAAAAAGGAAACGAACAAAACGATGGGATCGAGGTGAAGGGTAACCAAGATGGAGGGGCTGGTCCTCCGTTTTTTGCCACGTATCCTCTATTAACCGGCACCTTTCACGTGCGCCGGCCTGTACAACTGCGAAAGATTCCCTTTCATTCTTATCCAACTCCAATCACGTACATGTATAAAAGCGGCGAGCGTGTGCACGATCGACAGCAGATCAAAACCGCGGCTGAAACTGCCAACAATATCGACAACGAGGAGGAACCGGTAGCTCCTCTAACGGATCGTCGTCGTCTTCTTCTCCTTCTTCTTCTTCTTCTTCGTCCTCTTCCTTTTCCTCCTCCTCTTCTTCTTCTTACACCTCAGAGCTGGTTATTTTACGGTTGAGCAAAAGAAAACGTGTGCTCGAGGGCGCAACACGATGACCAAGTTCGCGGTAAGTCAATTCTAAGGGTGGATCCCCTCGGTAAGGTTGAATTTTGAGACATTTGTTTGTTAAGAAACTTGGAGACCAAGATGATCGGTGCGGGAGCGATCGAGTTTCTTCTTGTGATTTTATTTCGGATCGAAGTTTATGATTTTTTTATACAATTTCTTGCAAAAGTCACTGTAGGATTTCTACAGAACTGTTTAAATTTCGAACTTTTGCTAATCGGTTCTTTTCGACCAAATTATATTTTTTTAGTGCCGTAGAAAACACATTCAATTTCTTGTAAAAATCACTGTGAGACTTTTCCAAAACTGTTTAAATTTCTAACTTTTGTTAATCGGTTCTTTTCGAACAAATTATATTTTTTTTAGTGTCGTAGAAAACACATTCAATTTCTTGTAAAAATCACTGTGAGACTTTTCCAAAACTGTTTAAATTTCTAACTTTTGCTAATCGGTTCTTTTCGACCAAATTATATTTTTTTAGTACCGTAGAAAACACATTCAATTTCTTGTAAAAATCACTGTGAGACTTTTCCAAAACTGTTTAAATTTCGAACTTTTGCTAATCGGTTCTTTTCGACCAAATTATATTTTTTTAGTGTCGTAAAAAACACATTCAATTTCTTGTAAAAATCACTGTGAGACTTTTCCAAAACTGTTTAAATTTCTAAATTTGCTAATCGGTTCTTTTCGATCAAATTATATTTTTTTGGTGCCGTAGAAAACACATTCAATTTCTTGTAAAAATCACTGTGAGACTGTTCCAAAATTGTTTAAATTTCTAACTTTTGCTAATCGGTTCTTTTCGACCAAATTATATTATTTTGATGTCGTAGAAAACACATTCAATTTCTTGTAAAAATCACTGTGAGACTTTTCCAAAACTGTTTAAATTTCTAACTTTTGTTAATCGGTTCTTTTCGAACAAATTATATTTTTTTTAGTGTCGTAGAAAACACATTCAATTTCTTGTAAAAATCACTGTGAGACTTTTCTAAAACTATTTAAATTTCTAACTTTTGCTAATTGGTTCTTTTCAACCAAGTTATATTCTTTTGGTGTCACAAAAAATACATTCAATTTCTTATAAAAATCACTGTAAAACTTTTCCAAAACTGTTTAAATTTCGAATTTTTACTAAACCCAATTATATCTTTTTAGCGTTGTAAAAAATATATATTCAACTTGGAGAACCGAGACATGAAAGAAAGTCGAAGAATATTAACCGTTATCTTGGAATTGGTATCAAAATCTTCGCGCATCGACACCGATTGCTAGATCACTCCAGACAAGTTCAAGACGCGTTCAGATTTCCATATACAAATGTCATCGTTTGAAACAGCAACGCTCCAAAGAGACGTTTGCAAGAACCAATTTCACGCGAAACGTTCGAAGCTTTGCATGCTTGTAACTACATTGTAAAACTCTCCATGCTGATTCGATCCAATCTTTTTCCAGGCCGTCTTTGTGGTTGCCTCGTTGCTCGACTTGGCCTTTGCGGGACACCACGGTGGACAGTAAGTTTCCTTTACTCTGGCATTAAATGGCGTAGATCGTTCGCGCGGTCACGCGGAAGTACAATCGTTCGTGAATCACTGTAAATTGGAATACGTTTAACCAACCGTGACTCGGACCACGTGTGTCGACTTTCTCTGTGGTTTTTTGTTTATCGACGGCCAATGTTCCTCGAGAGAAACATCGAACGCGAAAAGAGAGGCTAGTCGAACGAAATTCATTGTTTCTTGTGTCGAACGACTGAGGAAGCGAACTTGCCGGGCCATTACGCGCAAAATTATCCGTGCCGACGCGGCAGTCGAATTAACAATCAACGAGTGAGACTAATTACATAAATATATTATACACTGTGCACGTTATAATATTGAATTATCCTCAGTAATTATTATCTCAGTTATTAAAAATTTGCTTTAGCATAGTGGATGTAGCTTTATATTAATCGAGAGTGACAAAGACGAAGAATAAACGAGTCCGTGGATGTTTGCCTAACGAGAACCTCGTCTGTCTCTACCGAAATCATTTTCTGAATTCCGTGAACGCATTGCTCTTTCTAGCAATCACGAGCATCAAGAACTTAGCTTACACTTTCCGTGTAATTCACTTTAATTATCCAAACAACTTTCGAAACGACTATCAAGTCCAAGAAAAAAAAGAAAAGAAAAGAATGAAGTACTAACGTCGTCCTCGTTGTCTTAAAAAAAAAAAAAAATCAATAAATATGCAAAAAGACAAATCTAAACGTTCAAAAAGAAAAAAAATCGTTCACACAGCGACCATGTGCTGATCCACGTGCCCTACAAGATCAAGACGATCCACCATACGCACACCATCACCAAACACATCCACCACGGAGGCGGGGGTGGCGACAAGTACGAAGTCCTCGGCTACACGGTGGGCCATCCGATTGATTTGGGAGGTCATGGTGGTGGCCACGATTTCGGCGGCGGCGGCGGCGGCGGCGGCGGCGGCGGCGGCCACGATTTTGGTGGCGGCGGCGGTGGCCATGATTTTGGCGGTGGCCACATCGAATACAGCGGCGGCGGAGGTGGTGGCGGCGGTGGTGGCCACATCGAGTACGGCGGCGGTGACATCGGCGGAGGATTCGGCGGCGGTCATGGAGGCGGATTCAGTGGAGGAGGCCACGAAGATTGGGGCGGTCATTAACCAGCAGTGACCGGCGCTAATTTTCGAGAGGATCACGGTAGTTCTCTTCGAGAATGTTCGATTTGTTGTTCGCGAACGCACTGTCGACTCGAATTCTACTTCACTCTAGGCGATCGCCAGTTTCGCTTAACCTCTTCAAGGGCGAATATTTTAATTTCAGTTGTAACAAAGAAACTTTATTTCATCTCTTTGCCATTTTCATTTTGTTAAGGAAAGTAACGCATAAAAACGTTAAGCTCACGCTTCAGAATTTCAAAGAATACCTACGTTTTTAGGTAAATAACTGGTTTCGCGAATGAAAGTAGCTTTTCTATAGGACGTAAATTAACTATCCGCACGTGTGGCTTTATTACAGTCTACGAAGGAACGTAATTATGGGCAAAGTGGAGCCTAGTATCTTTCCCTTCGTTGAGAAGAAAGGAAAGTCAATTTTCAAAAAGTTCGTTCAAAAAATTGCCACATTCTGAATTCAAATAAGATTAAGAAACGAGTTTCTGTGGGAAAGTCGAGTCACCGTGCTTTAAAGAATCAACAAGCACCCCGCATCGCACGGCGCTTTCACCTATACATGTTTAAGGGACACGTATCCGCTTTAGAGAGATACTGAATGTTTCTTCTGAAAGATTTTAGGTCTTTTACTACTGTTATTTTTTTTTCTTTTCTTTTTTCTTTTTTTTTTTGGTTTCTTAACTGGTGTTCTTCGGGGAGTGCTGATCGATCTGCCTCTTACCTCTCGTCCTAGTCTCTCAGTCTGTTGTCACGTCGTTCGTTACTGTTAATGTAAATATTTGTTACCAGTTATTAATTGTTTTAAATATCGTTTTCGCCTATTGTCTACCGCGGCTTGGATGATCTATGTATAATTATGTACGTTGATTAAACTGCGTGTGTACCTGAAATCTCACTACCCATTTATTCCCGGCGTCATTTATTTGTTACAATTTTACAACAACCTGAACACTCTACAAAATCACATACACGTGCGTACAACGTTCCAAAAAATCCTACGCTTTGCTACTTATTTCTGTCTCCTGTGATTAATGATCCTCGGTGTTTTATTGATCCTCTTTCTAGATCTCCGACGATGATCGCGCTTGTCCCTGGTATTCTCATACTCCACGTCGTCCACTAAATATCTCCCACTGTCCGTTTTCATTCCAAACTCCTCTTTGAACCCCTCGTTCTCGGTGTCGCCCTGCTCCTCCTCCTGATCCGCGTGAAACTTGTGCATCCGGTCCGAACGAACGTGCCCAGTTTCCGTCTCCAAACCCTTCTTGTACCCCTCTTCGTAATCATAAACAACAGTCTCGGTATTCGGAGGCACGTCGTTGACGTCTTCGTGAACTGCGTAAGTATCCTTGCCACGATCCTTCTGCTCCAAGTCGTTGTCGTCGATATACGACGACGGACGATAAGAGTCCTTGTAATAATCATACACAGGCAAATACTTTTGCCTGTGACGTTCGTGATTTTCTCTCAGTTTCTGTTCGTGATCGCTGTGATGGTTTTCGTGGTCGAGGTCAGGATCGTTCTCGTGCTCGTGTTCGTGCTCGTAATCACGATGGCGTCCGTACTTCCAGGAACTCCAGTTCGCGTGGTGATAGTCGCGAGTCTTGTAAATTTTCGGCTTCTTTGGCGCCGGCACGCGCAAGTGAAGGAGAACGGTCCTCGTGTGCACGTGATGATTGGTCACATCCGGCACGAGGATCCTCAGATGCACGCTGCAAACGAGCGAAAGGGAATGAGCGTGGGGGCTGTGTGAGAACGAGAGTACGCTCGTTTTCGTCAGAGAAAGCAGGGAAAATTGTTGACGATGCAATTCGTTCGATCGCGATCGAAGTTCTTACAGATCTTTCGTTAGTGTTTCGATCGTTGGGTACTTACTGTTTAGAGGACACCCCGTAGATCGTGATTTGGTTCAGTAGAAGCAGGCACAGGTAGCTGAGAATCTCCTGGAAAATAATTAATATTATACAAAACGGTAATGCTAATTGTATAAATTAATTTTATACAAAACGGTAGAATTGCTGCGTGAGTCTATCTAGGATATTTGAAATTCGAAATGCAAAATACAAAATATTTGGAGTGTTAAAAAAAGAATGAAAGATAGAATACATAAATAAATAAATAAAAAAAGAATGAAAGATAGAATACATAAATAAATAAATAAATAAAGAATGAAGGATAGAATACATACATACGTATGAATAAAACAAAAATAGAATAAATAAAACAGAGCGAAATAAAATAATTACAATATTCCATCGTGAATGCAATTACGAAACAATATAAAATTCGGCTGTGTAATTTTAATAAAAAATTTTCAAGTTTCTGATGCCAAGGATTCACACAGATTCGTACTTTCATTACCATGCTTTCTGTCGAAGAGGACAAGCGTCAGGATCAGCGTTTCGATATCGTTTGACATTGGTAGATGATGTTCCTCCTTTATATTCCATTCCTCTATCATAACCGAGTTCAACCGCGGAATTGTAATCGAAATTTTACGGACGATCAGGCACTTTCGCTGCCTGGTTGAGATATGCTCCGTCTGTCAATCCGCTTCGAATGACACGCCTTGAAAGAAACGTGTCAACGTGATCGTGGAAGTTCATTGCCGCGCCGGAAACCGAGAGGACCATTATCCAAGAAACATGGTCGCTGATGCTTGTGATTGCGCTGCGGTCGCTTCTTTGTCTTTTTTCTTTTCCCATTTGTTAGTCTTTCATAGGACGAAAAAAATAAAATATATTTCTACAAGTAAAGCACTTTATTGATTTCTTTTACAAATTTCTCACACAGTACATATACATATCGTCATCCTTAAACGTTTCTCTTTCAACTTTTCATCTTGTCTTTCTCGAACATTTAACTCTTAATTTCTTTTTTCTTTTTTTTTACTTCTTCTTTTATATCTGAGTACAAAAGTCTACGAGATTTGTTTCAACTTAACTCTATTACAGGTTGTTTGTTTTTCATATTTTATTAATTACTCGCAACCTTTCCGCTATACTACTTCCTACTTATTTCTAATAAAATTCATATTTATCTTCCTCTTCTATGTCTTTCTTGTCCTCGTCATAGTGCGGTAAGATTTTGTAGATCGTGTGCGTGTGCTTCACGTTCTTTATTCGGTAGGGGACATGGATGATTACCTTTTTCCTGTTACACGAAAACGTGATGAAGTAACTATGGATACAATTTGTAATAAAGTAATATATACATATATATTCAGATACTTACGATTCAGCTGGTTGTTGGAGCAACACGAGCAACACCAATAAACCAGCAGCATACTGAAACAAGAGAAAAAAAAGAATATAAATTTCGCAAGATAAAATCCTTCGAAATCACGTTCGAACCAGTCAATTTTACATTCTACAAATCCCCCAAAATTGACAAACTGATCGCCGCTTAATTTATCAGAAATCGAACGATACAACTGATAGCGTTGACCGGTTTGATTTCTGCGTGGCTAGGTGCCTTTACGAAAACTATATCTAGAGATGTTTTTCGTACCAAAAGCTTTCGTCTCATTCTGACGAAAATGAGAAATACTACGAGCAGACGCCTCGAGAAGCGAAACACTCTCTGCTTGTGGTCGCAGCAAACCTAACGTTTATATACATGTGGCTGAAATTAGCGAGGCGGATCAAACGAATCGCAAAGTGTACCGTGAAACTCCCCCAGCCTCTCGGCGTTTCAACGTGTACCTTTTCACTTTTCTGCTTTTCACCAAACGAAACATCGCCATTTACACTTGGCTATCGTGAGAAGCAGCCATAAGAATTTCTATCAGTTCGAGGAATCGGTGGACGAGCCTCGGCACACGACACGCAGCATAATTACGTCGAAACGAGCCGCGTCGTCGTCGCAATTATTCGTTACGATTGACTCTAATCCCGCGATTTGATCGACTTGTCCACGATCGATTTATTATATCAAAAACAGATTGAGTTAGAATTTCAGAAAAGTCGAATCAGCGATTCGAATATCAGCGAAAAAAGAAAAAAGAAAGAAAATGAAAATCAGCAGAGACTTACGACGAAGTACCATTTATAACATGTTGCTTTTCTGTTTCTGATCCTCGCTGTTCATTTTTCATCTTCGACAGAATGTGACATGCAGTTCAATCAGAGCCAAGTAACGATTGATTATTTTTTTGTTTTATTCAGAGGACACGATTAACGATCGAATAATGTCGAATCGGTCACACGTCACGAAACAGCAATCGACTCCACAAAATCGAATAACGATCTACGAGCAAAAAAACCTCTTAGGGTGATCACAGAGTTTCTAACGGCTCGGAAGTGATCGAAGAACTAACTGCATCTAGGAAACAACCGGATTCACTGCACTTCCTTTAAACGCACCCAACCGAGGATTGTTAACGAGACTGGAAAGAAAATATGTGATGAATGTATAATGTAATGTTGTCAGTTGTGACCATTTTTAGGCCATTATTACACGTCTTAAGTAATCATGTATTTCGTTCTCAAACGAACCGTTGATTGATTTAATCGAAAGTGAAGCCTCGTATGGTTCGTGAAATTGCGAAAGATTGCTTTCAAGATATCCGACTATAATCAACTAACTAATCAAAATACAAATATAGAATGGAAATGAGAAAACGGCGCGTTTGGTCACGCACGCGGACTGAAACGATCAACGCTCAGTTGATCGTTATCTTCACAATTTTTTTTTGATACAAATAAGGTATCATTGATTCTGTCTCGCGGACTGAGACCTTTAATAATAAATTGTTTTCGATGTATAGCGTTTTTTTTTATCGAATGTAGAATATTCGAGAAACTAACAAATACGTTATCGCGTGTTAGAATTATGATAAATAGATTCGCGGGCGTAGGAAGATGGAGACTTTAGAATCGGATCTACAATTATTTTTCGTCGTTCCGGAGTGATTTAGGCAGAAACAGGCTCGCTTTCGAACAAATCATTTGAATTTTGTTGTGCCGAGCGCAGTGAGGTGCACTGACAAATGAATGATCGCACAGTGGAAAAGTAGACAATTAGAAAAGCTTTTCAACGTGTTTACTTCATTTGCATATGCATGTCTGGCCAATTAAAAGTGAAAATTAAAAGTGAAAATGCAAAAAGTGAAAGAAACAAAATCAGGTGTTTGTATTTGCGTGGCGTGTGATGAGCAGCGATCGAGACCAAGGATAAGAAGTATTGAAAGTGACGCGCGGATTATCGCGATTTCAGTTAATCTCTTGAAACTCTTTTGGTATGTCTCCGAGAATATTTCGGATTTTTCCTGTTTATAAATTCTTACGAGCGTCTAGAAAGGTTTGGGTTAGGTTTTACGAATGCGTTTAAAATAATCAGAGCACGTTAATTTACTACGTTCAATATTTGAAAAGTTTTCACGTTCCAAATAAATCGGACAACCGGCAAAACACTATAATTCAGCTTCAATTACCACCGTGTACTGTATATGCTTATAGCAGAGAAAGAAACAATAAGGATGGTACGCCAATTAATTTTAAACACTAATGCAACACTAATGATTCCCAAATAAACGCGAAACAAACGTTAAGATTTCAATTATCATTTCGTAACATTTTATTAAAATAAAAAATATGTCTTCGTTCGATTTACACATTCAAGTACTATTACTGCAAGTACTATTAGCAGCAGAAACATAACAAACTTATTACAAGTGTACGCAAATTGGAACAAAAGATCTATTCCGTCCGTCGACAACGCAGTTGACAAAGGATATAACGAAATAGACAGATTAAAAACAAGGACTAAAAAACTAATTAGAAATCAGACTTTTTCAGGTCTTTCGTCGATTTTCTCCAGAACGATTAGACTCTGGGCAACTACGGGATCGGACTGTTCGTCGTTCCGTTTCTCGACGTGGATTCCACGCTGATCGTTGAATCATTCATCCCCGACTCGTTCCTCGGTTGTTCGTCGAAACTAAACCTCGCGGCTTTATTGTCCATCATTTCTTGCGAGCAACACCTCGACCCTTGCTCGTTCGTCGATTTTACAACGCGCTGGTTCGCGGCCGTGCCTCGTAAATAATTCATCCTGTCGCCGCTTGACTTCCGAAACGTCTCTAGAAACGCGTCACCGTTACTGTCGCTTCTTTCTCGCAATCCTCTGTGATTCTGCTTGCCCGTCGATGGTTCCACTTCATCTCTCCGTTGCACGTTCGTTCGTTCGACTGCTTTCCAATGGTAATCGACAGACCTGGGTACTTTCGAGTAAACAGCACCCAGTTCCATTGGCTTGAAACCTTCGTCCTTCGTGTTCTTAACGGCGGGCTCGACGCTCCCATCTAGATTAAGATACCTCATGTTCTTGCTTGCAAATTCGATACTGTATTTCGGACGATTTTCGTGAGAATCTTGACTGGCCGATGTTGGAGTTCGCTTGTTCGGAGACTTTTCGATTAAACTGACTGGACTGTCGTAGGTGACGTACTCGGGGGACGACAGGTTCGATGGTGTCTGCAACTGTTGGAAATCGACGGTCAACAGCTTGGTGTGTTCCTTGCTTGATTCGTTCGACGGCGAGTAGAACGGATACGCGTGGTCGAACGGATCTTGAAAGCCGCTCGATAGATATTGATTGATCTGCGTTTTATTTGCTTGGTCAGCCAGTTTCAAACTGGTTGGGAAATTAGCGTGGCCGTGTCTCAGCGACGAGACCAAAAACGGGTTGTTCTTACGGTGTTTGACTTTCTGGATGCCGTGTATGTTTCCATGTTTGAAGTTCAACTTGTACGTCCTCACTCTATGATTCTCTGGGGGATAACCAGCCGCGTGTCCGTAGGTGCCCAATGGTTTCGAGACTTGAGCAACGTTGTTACTGGAGGACAACGCGCTGTCCGACGAGATTGAATGAACGTCACTGTGATGAAGCTCGTAAGTGCCAATCGAACCTTCGCTGGACAGAGGAAGTGACTCGTGGCCGATCGTTGGGACTTCGGGATGTTCCACTATTTCACTGGATGGAAGGATATCTTTGTCGAGCGTCGATTCGATTTCTGTGGTTGGTAAATGGGATACCAGCCGTATCACCAAATGATTCGAATTCAGTGGCTCCAGAAGTCGTATATACACTTTGTCACCAATCCCTGGGAAGTGAAACGGCCCGACGAATGGACCCAACGCCTTTGGAGGATCGACGATCTTTCGAATTACATCCACGATCGAGTCAAATATGTTTCTGTTCTTCGTCACTCGGTATACGGGCTCGATGCGAACAGCTCCTTCGTCGAAAGCTTCCGCGGGCCCTTGTACAGTCTCCATCTGCTGGTTTTCGATGTAATTCTCGCTAACATCGTACGATTGCCCCACGTGAATCCCGGATGTTTTGCCGCCAGTATGCTGAAGTTGCCTTCGACGCCGATTCCCTTCCTCACTAGACGATCGTGACTGCATGGGCCAAGTACGAACTTTTAGGATCCTCTTGTTTGAACTCGGAACGTTTGAGTAAATCCTTTGCTGACCGTAGATCGTTTTCGGCCTTGGAGTTTCGGGCTGAGAAGTGGTGAACGTTATGTCATCAGGATTGGTACCATTCTCGGGCTCGAGCTGCGGCAGATGGTTCTTTGGTTGCGGTTGCCTAAGTTGAAAATAAGAAAATTACTTTTCTTTCTCTCTTTCTTTCTTTCTTTTCTTTGGTTTGTTTGAACGTAATTGAATTTTTAGAGAAAACGTACCTCTTGTAACGCACGGCTTCTGCGCCGAGGAACGTTGATATTAATGCGGCGCAGACCTGCAACCATGAAAATACGATGAAAACTCATTCTTGAATAAAGAAGAACCAAATAGAAAAACTTTGTTACACACAACCACGTCACAATTATCGAAAGGCAAATTCAACATTACATCTTACAGGTCAATCTCAAGGATCATCTTTGTTCGAAATTAGAAAAACGTTTCACTTTTCATTTTCTTTTCTTTTTTTTTCACTGATCTTCTTCGTTGATTGTGTTTTTCATCGAAAGAATACCTTTCGAAAGAATCGAAACAGCCGCAGTACGATCATCTTCGGCGTTTCAGACCGCGTGTATCGATTCCACTCACCGTGATTACACGCGCGATCCTCATTTCGCTGATGGTATACCCACGTCCCACTAGATCACTTCACCGATCCTACTATGGGGACGTCTGCCCATTGGCAACGCTTTTAAAGCTTCCCCGGACCCGCTTGTACGGCAACTGTTAAACTGGACTTGACAACATTGTTTTGCGTACGTACGTGCCGCTGGAACTGGCGGTTTTCTCTTGAATGAAAGAAAAAAATGTACGAACGAGTCCTAATCCGTTTCGTGCCGACTCGCCGGGAGGAATTGGTGCGCATCACGCTACTATTTCCTTCAAAATCGCAACGCACATATGATGAATGTCAATGAATCTTTCGAATCGGGAAGCGTCTTACGAAAATTTATAATTGCTCGCGAGAGTGCGAATTGGCACGTCTTGCTGAATGAGGGAAAGATTTCTATTTCGTTGAGGATAAAGTGACGAGATGACGTAAATTTTGGTTGTGATAGAAGTGGCAAATTTTTTTTATATTTTTACGCCTTTTTTATATTGTTACGCAAGAAACAAATTGTGGAAGCAATCTTTGTTTCATACGGAATGAAACAATAAGAAATAGTCAGAGGTAATTACGGAAAATAATCATTCTATTTGGCAGTTATTACAGACAACTCGAAAATATCTGATGACACAAGCGGCAAAAGTATTTCTAAATTTATTCACACGTTAGTGTGTGAAAATGTGCGTTGCGATTTTCTTGATTTTCCTGGGAATGCGTACTGTCACACGCTGAGAGAGAAAAACGTAAACAAAGAAATTATCGGATCGAAAGTCTACGCAAGTCTACTCAATAAAATTCCTTCTATAAAAAAATCTTGCCTACGTAGAATCCAAGTAAATACACTGCGAGAAGAGTATGAATTTTTTTTTCGTGTGTGTATGTGTGTGTGTGTGTGTGTGTGTGTGTGTGTGTGTGTGCGTGTGCGTTAACGAATCTTCTGGCCATCATTAAATCCGCACACTTGAACGAAAGTGAAGTTTCTATTTAAGTAATCGATATCTATTCTATTTAGGTAATCGATCTCTCATTCAGAAGTGGTAAAGATAAAAAGCCAAACGTCTAAACGACCGCTCATTCCGAGATACCAGTTTTTTTTTTCTTAGCGACAATTAATAAACCTGAAATGAAAGCCGCGGCACGCTCGTCTTAAGTTCTTAAGAAATAGCGACGCCACCATAACCGGTGGCGAATCGAACATCTAAAGGAAAAGAAAGAAGCTAATAGTTAAAGAAGTCTAAAGAAAGTTCGCGTTAGAGACACCGCGACGTGTAGACGATGGCTTGACAATTTGTAAAAAGTTGTAACAAGTAGTTAAAAATGTTCGAGAAACTCTTATTCTCAAGATGTTCGAAAACTGTCGAGCAAAGTGTCTTTATAACAGGAAATACCGGAAAATTACGAAGCAGTCTAGTTTAGTTTACTGTTTTTATTTTCAACCAAATCGTACGTTCTGTTTTCTTTTATACAGCACGGTTTAAAAATAATCTTCAATTATAATTAATTAAATACGTTTATGTATAGTAGAAATGCGAGTTTATAATGGATAATGTTTTTACGTGTATAGAATGTTGATTTATTATTGCTAAATTTTTTCTGATTAATGCTCGAAACTCTAAAATAACTTACACTTTTTTTTTTTTTAATGAAGTAATATATTTTGAAGAAGAAACATGGGATCTGATCGAGAAACTTGCTCTCGTTGCAGCTGAGTAAATAGCGCCTCTCTAATGTATGATACTAAATGGTAATAAAGCCATTGTACGGAACGTTGTGAACACTATGAAGATTTAAACTCGATAGATCCATTTAATTGTAATTGAAACGGCGCTTTCCATCGAAACGAAAACCGTATGCAGCGCTGTTCGGCGCGCTAACCAGGGCGGGATTCTTGTACTGATGAAACGAGCCATGCAGATGCGGAGGCCTCACGGCATTCTGCTCCTCCTCCTGCGATCCTTTCAAGTAGAATGCCTCGAATTGCCCTTCCGGTAACAGAATATCCTTCAGCGATTTGTCGTTCGGATCATAAGCCATTCCATTTAATGCCAAGGAAATTAGAACAAGAAGGCCCTGAAATCACAAATAAATAAGACTTACTATATAAAATTAAATGACAGTATTTTGAATTATCTAAAAGAACACACAGTTATATTTTCATTGTAGAAAATATTTGTTTCATACTTCCAGAATAAATACAAATTTATATTTATTATTAATGAATGAAATTGTTGAAATGAATCTTAATATAATAGAAGTAAAGCACGTACCGTGAACAAGATAAAAAGATTTGCTGCCATACTTTGATCCGTATTCTATGTTGACCGAAGCGCTAAAATAATAAGGAATATATTTGATACATAAAATATAAGGTCAACAAGATTTAAGTTATGCAGTTATATAGTTATAATCATAACTATTTGAAAGAGTTTTAATTGAATAGCCGCAATACGAAGAATAAGATTAATTTATTCCAAGTGTAATAACTACATAAATTACATCAATGATAAATGATTACACGATTTCTAATGAATTAATTTACGTAATTACATACTTTGTATTTTTCTGCTTATATCTTTCTCTCGATCAGTGAGGATCAATAAAAAAGACCAACTAATTGTTTGCTGCGCGCTCATTCGCCGTGAGCATGCAACAGGTCTGCGTTTCTTTTCGTTACACTTGTCCAGTTTCTTTTATTTTGTACACGATTAAAGAAATTTTACGATGCACTCTTAATAACTAACAATAAAAATTTACATTTATAACTTATCTGTTAAACTCTTTTTTATCAATATTCATGAAATCGCGATAATGAAAGTTATTGAGAAAAATGCTTGTAATTAATTTTAATAAATTTCTAACGCGTCAAATTAACTAAACTGAATATCAAGTCATTACAACTTTTCATTTTTACTTCTTTATGAGTCAGTAAAAACTGAAACTGCTCGCGAGGAAAGAAAAAGATGAAACGGCGATTGAGTTCAATCATAGATCGAACTTAAGTCGCGATTATTAAGTCTATCGTGAGAAGTTATCTATCATAAAAAGATCGCTAAACTACGAGTTTTCATGGTTGGAAACTTACCGAACGTGATCGTAGCAAAAGTGAAAGCCGCTCTGCCGATCGTACACAACAGTATGCAGACAAATGTTTCCTCTACCTGCACACACATTTAACGACCTTGCCACTGCCAAGCGCCCCCACCCTGAAGACCAAGAGCAACCTCGAGGTCTGCAGAAACGGAAGCTGACAAAATTGGAAAACATGCATTCACGAATTTCGCCATTCGGGTTGAATGTATTTTTTTTTTTTTTTTTTGTGAATTAACTTCTTCTTTAAATAAAACAGCTGTGCTGGTAAATGTAAGAAACTGTATTTGTACAAACTGTACAAAAAAATCAGGTATCGTTGTAGAAATACAATATCAAAGAATAAAAAAATGTAATTAAACTATGATATGTTAATCGAAATAAACAAAACGTATCTTATAAAATTTCGTTTTTGTTACCGTCACACATCAAATATGATTTGAACATTCAAGCGGCAGAACAAGACGAACAAACTGAATTTACATTCGTAAACGTAATACGCTATTATCACAATGTGCAATATATATTCTCTAAAAACAGTGCAAAACATCGATTCTTAAAATTCATAATAACAACTTAATGTTCTGTATATTACTTCTTATATATAATACACAGTCGCATAATGCACGATATAAATTATACTAGTACGATAAACTAGTAAGTCCCAGTATTATGAATAAATATCAATGGATAAAAAGTAAGTTGGCGCTGTCACTATCACGATCAACGATTTCAATGTTTTAATGCAAGAAGCTTTACAAGAAGCATACTTTGTCGTATGCTTACAAGTTTACATATATATATATATATGTTAAACGCTGTTTAAGTCTCTTTTACAAATGCTCGCAATAAAATAAGAATGTTAGGTAACAATATAAGATTACAAACATTCTATTCACTTATACATGAATTCATGATCCGTCATAATTATGTTACAATTACAAGTATTAAATATATCCCTGGGATATAGCCACGTATCATAACATATTATACGGAATATAAGTAAGAATCTTGTTTCGTTTTTCCTTTCGGAGGAGAAGTAAAAGGAGAAAACCAAGCAATTGAAAATCTTCCAAACACAGCTTGAATAGATTTCCATCTACTATTACGAACCCACCTGGCTTCTTCCTTTTTAAGTTGCTCAATACCCTATACATAATATAAATGAATAATCTATTTGAAAATAAAATAAATTTTTTTATTTAACTACTGCATACATACAGTTTCATCATTCCAAATTGCTTGCAACTGTGTTCCCAGCATCACAGCCGTGAAAATGGCAAATAAGAGGGCTTCAAAAGCCAAAAAAAGTAATAATACCACTGTTGCAGGTGGACTAAAAGTAGAACATTCTTTCCATTCTTGTCTTATACATGTAGTAAATTGTTGTATACACAAGAATAAAGAATGCAATGACATTGCTGCTATATAGAACTAAAATAAATTGTAAATTGTAAAAACTGTCATCAATTTTTACATGTGTATAGTAAGACTTACAGTAAAAAGTACAAAATATTTTTGATTATTTTCTCCAACACAATTATTAACCCATGGACAATGATGATCCATTTTTCTAACACATCTATAAGTAAAATATTTAAATATTATCAGTCATTTTCCTGTGTATTAAAAACTATAATTGTATTATAGATGTTATAAAACCTTTGGCAAACAGAACAATGATGTGCTCTATCAGGCTTAATGGAACAACATTTGGGACATTTAAATATGACTTGTCCATCTCTAAATCCCATTTGTTCAATCATTTCCTTTGTAGCATTTCCTTTCATAACAGCACCCTATAAATAGTTTTTATGTCAAATTATTAATAGATTTCACACATAATAGCTACATGTTTTAAAAACTTTTATTTACTGGATCTGTAAACATTGTCCTTAGGTGAGACGCAAAAGCTAAGAAAGTTAATGACTGAAATATTGCAGTGTTTAAACTCGAGTATAAGGTATTTATTGTAGGAATAAGGATAACTGCCATTACTACAAATTCTGCATAAATTATTAACAACCATGTTAAAATTGCACATATAATCCCACATATGTCCTGCAATACAATATCAATTAAAGGTTATTTAAAAAATATCAACACAGTATTGTTCAATTATTTAATAAAATATTTGTACATACTTTTATACACCACAATCTTCCACCATAACATTTATTATGAACATCTTTTTCTCTATGAAAAGACATATAGTCATAATCCATGATTTACTGTTATTTACTAAATTCTTAACTATCAATCGAAGAGACTTCAACCATGGTTTTTTGCTGGAAATGAAAATTAATTCATACGTTAGTGAAATTCTGTATATAACATTACAAAACAAATATCACATTGATTTGTAAGTGACAAGTGCATGAAATAAATTCACGAACTAACATAGTGTCTAACCTCATAAGCAAGTATTCGCAGATTGTCATTCACAAGTCCATTGTAATTGAATGATTTACATTAATTTTTATTTCAGTAACCTCCATTGCGATAACATTCAACGTGTTTACGATCGAATATCGAGTAATGGAATTGATTTTTCCGTCTTCACCTCTTGCTTAATTAGCCTAACCAAAGACATACGGCTATTAAATAATTACATTATTAATATAAAAATTCCCTTAAGTATCCAGCAATCATTTGTTCATGTCGATCCAAACGTAGTGTAAAGTAAACGAACTGAAAACGAAACTTGAGCATGTTATCACGTGTAGATTATGATAGCTTGGTTTCTAAACGTCACCGACATTCGCCATTGAACGACATTACGAACGCACCTGACATTCGAACGAACGGATGTTTTTAAGGGAAATACCGTGAACTACAATACACTGTCTTATCCAATTAATATCGACGAGTGTTAAAAAAGGATAAAAACATTGGATGTAAATGGTACTAGATATTACCGGTTCTAATGTTGTTTGTCGTATTCTTACACGCGACTGCAAGTTTGACAGTACATGGTAAGGGTGGGGGCCACAGTGCGCAGCCATATTGGCTACTTGTGACTTTTGGGAGGAAGTGAGCAAAAAATAATACAACTTTTCTCGTTTCTACGTGAAAAAATGTTGCCTTCGAGGATTTTTCATTGATTTCACACGTTGGTCTTGCTAGCGCGAACACGATTACGATAGAACGTGTGATCATTTATACAAGTTCAACCTTTTTTACGAAAAATGGTACGTTACTTTTTGATTAATAGATTCCTCGTTTTAGTACAGTTAAATCGTTCATTGCAAAATTTTTTTAATGTTCCTGGCATATCTGCTTTATTTTTTTTGTAGAGTTTCTTTGGGTTCGGTCAGTCGGCAGATATAGAGATTACTTTGGACGGTGCAGAAACAAGGAAGACTGCAGACATTAAATCTGAAGATGGTAAAAAAGAGCGCCACTTGTTATACTATGACGGTGAAACCGTTTCTGGAAAGGTAAAAATCTTTTTTTTAATGAATAAACATCAATGAATTGTATAAGGCGTTTATGTAGAATGTAACTTACAATCTACGATGGTTATTCGCAAACTCCAGATAGATAGACGTAAAGAATAAAGTAAAAAATGTTTAACATTGTCTCAGTCTGCATTAATTGTTTATATTAATATCTAGTAATTTATATACTTTTACACTTTACCATTCTTATATAAAAAAATTACATCATGTAGTATACATATCATATATACATATATATATATATATATATATATGTATATATGATATGATTTAATATCTTTAAGTAAATATGATTATCTTATTTAATTTGATAAATTAAAACTCTGATAGAATGTATCTAAAAAATCATTTACTTTTTGTGATACTTTATAATTTAATATTAATTTCTCTTTAAAGGCAGATGAGGTTATATTGATTAAAATACACTATTATTTGCAGATTAACATTAGTCTTAGGAAAGCTGGTAAATTGGAACATCAAGGTGTAAAAGTAGAGTTCATTGGACAAATCGAATTATATTATGATAGAGGAAATCATCATGAGTTTACAAGTCTAGTTAAAGAACTAGCTAGGCCAGGAGAATTAACTCATAATACAGTGTATACTTTTGAATTTGCAAATGTAGAAAAGCCTTTTGAAAGTTACACAGGATCTAATGTACGACTAAGATATTTTCTCAAAGTCACAATTGTTCGAAGACTTAGTGATATTGTTAAAGAACTTGAATTAGTTGTGCACACTCTTAGTTCCTATCCAGATATGAATAACCCTATTAAAATGGAAGTTGGAATTGAAGACTGTTTGCATATTGAATTTGAGTATAATAAAAGCAAGTAAGTTATATCAATTTAATTATGTAAATATTAATGTCCAATATAGAGTTTAATGATTAATTCATCTTTTTGCAGATATCATTTAAAAGATGTTATTGTTGGAAAAATATATTTTCTTTTGGTTAGAATAAAAATCAAACATATGGAAATTGCCATAATAAAACGGGAAACTACTGGTTCTGGTACTGTATAATTAACAAATGGTTTTGTTTCATAAAAATAATTACAGTAATCTTTCTTATAATTTGAATTATAAATTTTAATAACTTCACTGGAGAAAATATTTTATTTTTTAAGTATTGGCTTCTTTACAACTTATACTACAGTTATAAGTAGAATATATATTTGCAGGTCCACATACATTTACGGAAAACGAAACTATAGCAAAATATGAAATAATGGATGGAGCACCAGTTCGAGGCGAGTCTATTCCAATAAGAGTCTTTCTAGCAGGTTATGATTTAGCACCTACAATGCGTGATATCAATAAAAAATTCAGTGTTAGATATTACCTTAATCTAGTTCTCATGGACGAGGAAGATCGTAGATATTTCAAACAACAAGTAAGCTAAAAAATATGCCTATAGCTTGCTAACTTTTTATTGATGTATATTTTTACAATTAAATGCCGTTTTTAGGAAATAACCTTGTGGAGAAAGGGAGAAAAGAGTAGAAAATCTCAAACTGCTTCGCCACATATGCCGTCGCATTTAGTATCGGCAGAAACGGGATTTCCACAAGGAGCTGCTCAAAGTGGTCCGCCATCCGTGACTCCACCAGTTCAATCAGGACAACTACCATCAGCTAACATTACTAATGTAGAGGATGCACAAGCGCCAATAGAAAGCATGACACGCGAAGAAGGAGATGGTGAAGGTGCAAAAGAAGTTAATTCTGAAAGTAACTGAATTTTTGCATGCGAAACAGTTACTGAAGTCAATGGAAGTTTTACTAATTCAAAGAATGAGTAATAACTTCGTACGGAACTAGTAGTTTAAAACGGAACTCCTCTTGTATTATAAAGAGAGATTGAATTTTAGGAACTACGAAAAATCGAAACATCTGCGAGTAAAGTTGTAAATATTTTGGATACCTATAAATAATGCGGATGATTAAATTGAATAAGTAGCCAATTATCGATCAAAATTTCAAATTATCAAGAGCTATAGATAACATACTATGGTGTCTAATGGGACAAACCTGAAATAGTTATACAGAAAAGATAATATAAAACAAAATAATGCAACCATATAAAATGGATATTTATAAATGGACAGTTTAATAACTGAATATTAATCAGCGATATATTCTCGAACAGTATCTGAATGTTACAGTGTTCAGAATATTTTATACAACTGTATTATGTGTTATATTCTCAAAGATCTTTATCAAAATCTTTTGCGTTATATTATCAGACCTCTCAGATGGCCAATTTCTGTCATATGAGAGTTTTATAAATCTGAAATGAATATGCATATACTCACAATGGCTGCCCTATTTTAATCCATTCAATTAGTCTGCAACTAATATAGTAAAGGCACCGAGAGAAATGCTTTTATATATAATGCATTATTATCGAAATAATTTTTGGGAGAATGTGATTTTTTCAACAAAAAGTTTTTATTAACATTCGCAATAAAAATTATTAATAAACTATTAGTTAAGATACAGGCATAGTGTATAAAATAATATCAATAGTTCTGTCATAATTATAGCATAATTGTATGTACAAATCACTGAATTGTATATGCTAATTAATTTTTTAGTAGAATTTTTATGCAGTCTCAAGGATCTTAATATAAATTATTGTAAGAAATACATGCCTTAGTATGTTTATTCAATTTTGAGTATGCCTTTATTAATATAAGAGTGGACTATGATAGATTAAAAAATGGGATGGCCCCACATGTATTTATATATATACATATTACAATATGTGTGTGGATATATACATGCATATGTATGATTTTTAATGACAGCAGTAGTTATAAACTGGGTTATATATACACACACATACACAAGTATCCATGTCTATTATAATAATACTGAAACGTGTTCTATCCAGGTAGTATCATGATTACTACCACGATGGAAGTAATATGCCGGTACAAGAAAAATACCCAGCGTTTTGTACAATTCTATGTTAACATGGGTTGACTAAAGAATCTTGTTGAAAAAGAAAAACTGCATAATAGTCAGCCGCGTGTATTTCGAGAATTTTGTTTCATGTAAATTAAAATTTTCATATTTCACGCCTTTGTTATTTGTTGAAAAGAAAGATATATGTGTAAAAGAGAGAAAACAACTATTTGTGAATTATTTGACATGTCAAATATTGTATATACATATACATATTGTCATACGATATAAAACTAGCTGCATATTTTAATGCCCACATAAATATATTATACATCGCATACAGTGTGCCATTGTGCACACGTGTATCGGAAAACATTACTTCGTCTATGCATACACCCTTCCTATCGTTTTATATATATAAATCGAGTATCATCAAATTTTTATTCTCACTTATCTATAACTTGTTTTTTATCTGAATGAAATAGACATATCAAGTACAGATTTTACCATGACAAATAAACTATGGATTTAAGTGCAATTAATTTTACGACGAATTTATGAAGGATGGAATCAACAAATGCTAACGCAATAGAATTTTATAACGACAATTAAAACGTCGATTAAAATCTCCCTAGTTTTTCAAACCATTTCCCTTCTTTTTTTAAATTACCTCAGTTATAAGGAAAATATTTATGATTAAGTGCCTTCGCAAAGCACGATTAGTATTTTAGAAAATAAGGGTAAATTTTAAACGTAAGACGGTCCACAGTAATTAGAAGAGTTCATTACTTTTTCCTTTTAAAAGCGTTAATTATTTCACGAAGTTATCTTGAACTATTGTTTGTAATTTTAATAACTTAATTATTAGAATCTATAGTTCAAAATATGATTGCGTATAGTAACAAAATATTGTAAGATTGTAAGTGTAACAAGAATAGTTTTATATCAATAATTTTTTTCTATTTACTTTTATAATCCTAAATGAATTTGAAAAAAATATAAAAATAACATACCAATTACAAATCAATTGTCAATGACGTTCAAACGGTTAATAGGGAATATATATTTTAAACTCGTATATAAAATATACTAAACATAATTTTACAATATTTAAAATTTTCATATACTATAATAACAATTAATATTTTAAAGTACCAGAGTTTTTAATTGTATCTTATTTGTTTTCATTAACGAATAAATTGTATATTTGTCTGTAATATAGATATTAAATATGGTGTACGTGGAAATCAAGCTTAAATAAATATACCGATATCAAGCCGGTACGTAATATCCTGCAAGGAAATAATTCATAAAGCAAATTAGTTTGTTTAATTGTAATTTAATTGTCGTTTGCATTTCAGGCTATGAAGATAAACTTAAATGTCACATAAAATTCTGTTATATTAGTATGTTTAAAAAAAAATCTGTTATAGAAGAAAGAATACGACTTTAATTAAGTCAGTATAAAGTCCGAACAGTATGCGCGTTTCTCTGCGCGCAGATGTGATGTCTGAATAAACAATTATTGTCTGGTTAACGCATTAGTAGTTCACTGCCGGTTATAGTGTCATAGTCATCAGTAGGTTAACCAAAGATGGAAGTTCGAACAGAATTAATTACGGAACTTCGTGAAAAATTTTTTAAAAAATTGGCCGACGAGGGACCACCAGATCCTAGTGTGTATATTTATTTTCATATGTAAGACTGTACTTTTTCTTTCCAGTTGCGTTTTGCAAAACGTAATTAATTTACAAAATAAAGTTTAAGATTAAGTGTCATATTCCAAGGCCAATGTTTTCAATATGTAGTCAATAAAAGAATAAAAATTATTTTTACAAATAATTTATGAAGTCTTTGTTCCAACTATTTTTATGCACTCAGTTGATAAAATATATGATGCATGAAAATATTTATAATTTAATTAGTCATTTAATTGAATATATTCCAGAGTTTCATCCTGTAGATATTGCTAAAATAAAAGATAATAATCATTGGTTACAAAGATTTTTGGAGCACAATGAAAACAATGTGCAAGAAGCACTTAATATGTTATGGGAAACTTGCTGTTGGAGGAGTAAATTTGGCACAAATGGTATGGGTTATACAGAATTCATATTTTTTTTTATTTGTTTTTAAATTTTTAAATTTTTCTTTATACTTGTGACAATGAAATAGGTCATATAGGAACATATAAACAGTTTAGTTTTTCTCTTATCCTTAGTAAAAATAGGATATAAAATAGGATATAAAAATTCGATAATCTATTTTATTGTCATCTTGTAAGTTTTAACAAAATTATTATTTATTGACAGAGATTACAGAAGAGAATGTAATAAAAGAGTATTTAAATAGTGAACTGTGTTTTATTCACGGTAAAGATAGAGATGGTAAAACAATGTTTATTATTAGATGTAAATTGCACACTAAAGGAAGCAAAGACTTTAGTCAATTGCAAAAGCTCGTTGTATATTGGTTTGAAAGATTAGAAAGGTAAAATAACACAATTTATAACAAATTATTTATCAGTTTGTTCTATTAAAAAATTAATATTACTATATTGTATTTCAGACAAACTAATGGTAATCAAATTTCTCTTTTCTTTGATATGTCAGATACTGGTATTTTAAATATGGATATGGAATTTATCAAGTACCTGATTAATCTTTGTAAAAATTACTATCCTAATTTTTTAAATTATATAATTATTTTTGAAATGCCATGGATATTAAACACTGGATTTAAAATTATAAAGTCATGGTTGCCACCTAAGGCAATTCCAAAAATTAAATTTGTACAAAAAAACAACATACATGAGTTTGTAGAACCTAATGATATACTTACATGTTGGGGAGGTAGTAATGAATATGTCTTCAAATTTGTATCAGAAGCACAAAACAGTGTAGACGCTACAATGAATGGTAAATTTGATAATAAAAAGGTATATACTTATTTATTGGAGAAATAAATATCGAATAATTCATTTGAAAATTAATTTTTCATCTTTATATAACTATAGGTACATTTTACAGAAGCTTCTCCATTAACAGAACAATCCTCAAGCAATTTTGGAGAGCAAGCAATTGAAGAACAATGTAAGTGTTTGTTTATAAAAAACAGTGTTTTATTATAATTATTGAAAACATTTGGAAAGATAAAACTTTTATTCTTATATCGATAAATAATAATATATATTGTCTTGTAGTATTATCTATTGAACCAGATGCACTTATATTTAACAAAAACGGGAATGAAATTAGTGGAACAATTACGTTGAAAAATGTAACTACTGATAAACCTTTATCTTACAAGGTATGACAAGTTCTTTTACAATAAAATTATACAATAGTATGGGACATAATATAAATATTTTATATAGGTAAAAACAACATCACCAGGGAAATTTAAAGTACGTCTAAGTTCAGGGGTTTTATTACCTCAAGAACAACGCACGATTTCAGTTGTTGTGCAACAAGAACACAACATGCGCGGCCTTTTACAAGTTGATAAATTTTTAGTTATGTGCCTTCCATTAAAAGATCCAAATGCATCGGCCCAAGAATTAGCAGCTTTATGGAAGGTAATAATACATGTTAATAATATATAAGCCTTTAATATGTTATTGAATTGTTAATTTATATTTTATTTAGTCTGAGAAACCAGCAGAAGAACATAAATTAAGATGCTGTGATGGTGGAATTACAAGTAGTGAATCATTAAAATTACATTCCACTTCTGGTATATCAGAAAGTGGTCAAATAGATATACTTTCCCGTAAAGTAAGGAAAATAATTTGTGATTAGTAATATGATATTAATGAATAATATACTAATATATAAATTAATATCTTACAGATAGCACATTTGAAGGATAGTCATACAAAGCTGTATAATGATGTTGCTTTTCTAAAGCACTTATCATTTTTTTCTATGATAGTTACAATTATAATGGCCATAATAGTTATTTATATTTTAAAAATTGACATTAAAAATACTGTGGATCAACAAGCTTGTCACATTCACCATGGGATATAGATTACTTAGATACAAATTCATTTGAGTTTTACATATGTAACAAAAATTTTATTATATTTTTATGTTTAATTAATAATTCTAATATTTTTACATTCGTAAAATTATTTGATAATTCGTATTGATTTTTTACATTCGTAGTTTTCATAGTTTATATTTTTCACTATTTTTGTTAAAGAAGAATTGTATATGATTCTTGTATATATTTTAATACAATTTACTTTATTATCATTAATATAAACAAAGTAAGTTGTTATTGTATTTCAAGATGTTTGTGTATAATCTCTAATATATTCAGAATGTAACCGTATTATTACAGGGAAAGAAATATAACTAATTGGAATTATTTTTGTAAAATTTTACACGTATTTTGTACAATTTATCTCGGTTATAATTTGTAATTTAATAATACAAATTATTTCAAATTAATTTTTTACATCATTTGCTTAAAATTATTTACATAGTTCATCCAATATGTTCGAATATTTAACAAAATAATTATAGAAAGTTTTATGTTATACGCGTGTGATAAAATTTTGAGTATCAGATTCGTATAATATGCGCATGTAAATATTTTATTCATAATAATTTTATAAAATGTGTTAATAAACTATATATTTCATGAAAACAACTTATTATTTAGTTATATTTTCATTAAAGGTTATGATATTCCTTTGTCACATTTATTGTTTACATTTAGTAAGTATATATGTACACTTTGTATTATAATCTGCTTATTTTAATGTTATATGATATTAAAACTGATACAATAAAAAAAAAATGAAGGTTAGAAGCATTTTTTGTTGCATCTCATGCTTGACTTATTGTATCATTTTACAAACAACAATATAAAACCAATAACATTAGTTTCTAATCATTTTGAAAAAAAATTGATATTTCACATAAACGGGTGTTAGTTTAGTTAATTAAAATTTTTAATCATTCTATTAATTATTTCGAACTATAACTTTCCCGCCCTTTTTACATGGCGTCAGATTTTTTTTTTTATTTCGTCGAATGGGCCTTAAAATATGAAATGAGCTTATACCGTGACATTATCAAGCCAAGTTTACCAACAGCATTATATTATTAAATTATATAGCTCAATCGTTTCATGCCGAAATGCGTACTTTGGCAAATGGAAAAAAAAAATGAAAATTAATTGGCAAGATCTGGGTAGATTTAACACCCGGAAGTACCTAAAACGACAGTCGTCCGGTGTAAACATGACGAGTGACGCTAGCCAGTGCGCAGCTATCAACGCGCAGCATTTGAACATTCGTAGTTCGATCGGCCATATTGTCCTCCCGGGTCTTACACAACGCCCTCACACGAACGTTCTCGACTTTATGAGGTAAGCGAATATTTCGAGGTTTCGTGTCGCAAGCGAACTTAGCACAACGTGGAAGCACTATTCCGTGTGAAGAACAACGATTTTCAGATTCGTGGGAATCTGTGCCAGCCCAGTCGCGAGCTGAACGCAGGACATTGGTAAGTTATATCCAGCACGTAGCAGAACGAACAGTATTCCCTTCCGTTGCGTCCTCCATATTGATGACAGCGCCGACGGTGATAATTTTCTGAAATTTTTGTCGTTAATGCCCCCTGTGTCCTGAAATCGAAAGCACCCGCGTTGTCTTAAAAGCTTTCCGACAGAATGCGCAACTTCGGAGCCTCTGGTGTTCGATGAAAGTCCACGGGTACGGAACCCTGGAGGCCTTCCTACGTATTTCCACAGGCTTCTTCGCCCATCACGGCGCAATCACATTCTGCCCATGGCGTCATCCTTGTTCGCATTACCCGCTTCGCGTGTTACATGGCGTTCCGCGGCAGCGTGTGTCGCTTCTGTCAATCCCGTTTGGTATTCCAGCGATAGAACGCTCTGATGCTCGGTTACGAGGATTTTAACGCGTGGTTAGCCTCGTTAATTGCTTGCCTCTCGACGAATCCCCCACCCTCCCCACACGCCGCCTCTTGTTCATCCATTCTTTCGTACCTTCAATTTCTTTACTCGAATATATTGATTTTCTTTTAATATCGCACGACACGATACTTCGTGCATAGCCACCGATGTTCCGGTGGTAATCGGTACAATTTTCGAACGTTACTGAATGCATACACGTGCCTTCTCCGTACGTTCTCAAATGTAAAGCCGATTGCAGTTGCGCATTCCTTCGAAACGTTTGTCATTCATCGTATATGATGTCCAAAAGTCTATGCCATTTTTTTGTAACAGTCCAATATGATCATATATCTTTAAAGATGTATTTATTCGTGTAGATCTTTGAAGTCACTTGAGGTCTACATATTGCATGGATAATTCATAAATGTTGGAGTCAATGAGTGATTAAAGACACAGATAAACATCCTCCTGGCAATTAGATATACTATGTATGTGTACACATATAGTACCATGTTGTAGATCTATAAGTGATGATTTGAGTATGGTTAGCTTAAAATACAAAGTTTTCCTTACAATGGGGTTGATCTATCAAATTTGTAAAAATAAGTACAAATGTATAATTAGCTTCAGTATGTTTTGATGACACGAAGAGTAAAATATAAGATATGAATTATTTTAAAATGATAACTTTGATTATTTGAATCGTTGAATGAAAAATGCATTTGTTGTTGTTTCAGACGAATGAAAGAAAGTGCATTTCTATGAGTTAATGATTTGATCATGACAAGTAACGTAGCAACGATTAAATTAGAAGAGGGACAAGAATCTGTAACAGAGATACAGACTTATTTAGAAACATTTAACAAAGAGATAGAGGGAGGTCAAGGAGAGCAATTGCAACATGTACAATGTTAGTATATCTCCAAACGAATTTTTCTATATTTACCACGAAAGGAAACAGACTTTTATTACAATTTTATATTACAGTGCAACAGGTGGAAGGATTGTCAGGTGGAGAGGAAGGTGGAACTTACTTTGTTGACCAATCTGGTCAATATTATTATCAGGCAAGTAATGATGAAACACCTGTGATGACACAAGTGCAAATTCAAGAAGTAGAAGAAGCAGACGTACAAAATGAAGGAGAGGCACCTCAAGAAGAACAATATAATGAAATTGAAGAATTAGAAAATGTTGATGGTGATGAAGATGTAAGCAAAGATAAATGATTTTTAATAATAGAATAACATAGTGTCTATTGTTATTGTAGAAGTCTGTTGTTCCATAGGGTCAGGTAACCAATAATGGAAATAATCAGGTTGTAATCAATTCTGGAGATGCATATCAAACAGTTACCATTGTACCATCGGATACCAATCCTGGTGAAGTTAGTTATGTGTTAATAGTTCAGCAACCTGATGCTGAAGATAAAGAAAGCAGACCAGTAGAACGAGAGGCAACGGAAGGTGAAGAAGGGGAAGGAGAACAAGACCTTACTGTTTATGACTTCGAAGATAATGAAGATAATGAAGCACCTGTGGAATCAGAAGCAGAAGATGATAAAACCAAAATTATTAAATTCCTACCTAAAAAATCACAAACTGTTACTCAAGCTCACATGTGTAATTACTGTAACTACACAAGTCCAAAACGGTAATTTTATTTTATTTTTTGTATATTTTAAAGAAATGCTTATGTATTGTTAATTGTTTTGAAATTATGTCGTAATCAAAATTTAGCTTATTTGTAAACAATTTCTTAATCTTATGTGATATAGATATCTATTATCACGTCATATGAAATCGCATTCTGAAGAAAGACCACATAAATGTAGTGTTTGTGAAAGAGGATTTAAGACATTAGCTTCACTTCAAAATCATGTCAATACACATACTGGGACCAAGCCACATCACTGTAAATTTTGTGATAGTGCATTCACAACCTCCGGTGAGTGTAACATTTTTACGCACTTCCTGTTTCTTTTTTTCTTTTTTTCTTTCTAATTTTATCAATATTAATTTTTAGGTGAACTTGTTAGACATGTTCGATATAGGCACACTCATGAAAAGCCACATAAATGTCATGAATGTGACTATGCATCTGTTGAATTGTCTAAACTTAAACGTCACATTCGATGTCATACAGGCGAACGTCCATATCAGGTATACTATAACATTTCAGGTTCACAGTTTTATATTTAACTATAAATGTCGCCCATGATTGTGAAATTCTTATTACATTTATATTACAGTGTCCACATTGTACATATGCAAGTCCTGATACTTTTAAGCTAAAACGACATTTGCGTATACATACAGGAGAAAAACCATACGAGTGTGACTTTTGTCAGGCAAGGTTTACACAATCTAATAGTTTAAAAGCTCACAAACTGATACACAACGGTATGTGTTAAACTTGTCATGTAATTTTTTTTTGTTATATTTATTACATTAGAATGTGTTACTTAGTTGGTGATAAACCAGTATTTCAATGTGAATTATGTCCAACGACGTGTGGAAGAAAAACAGATCTAAGAATTCATGTACAAAAATTACATACCTCTGATAAACCTTTGAAATGTAAACGCTGTGGAAAAACATTCCCAGACAGGTATGCGGTAAATTGTTTAATAACTATTAAAAAAAGTATTTTTTTATTGTAAATACAAAACGTACAATGCATTTTACCATTATAGATATAGCTACAAGTTGCACAGTAAAACACACGAAGGAGAAAAGTGTTATAAATGTGATTTGTGCCCATATGCTTCTATATCTGCGCGTCATCTCGAGAGCCACATGTTAATTCATACTGATCAGAAACCATATCAATGTGATCATTGCTTTCAATCATTCAGGCAAAAACAACTTCTCAAACGGCATTGTAATTTATATCATAATCCTTCTTATGTTCCTCCTCCACCACAAGAGAAGACACATCAATGTCCCGAATGTGAACGGCCGTTTAGGTATGTAATATATATACATCGATTAAATACGTAGAGGAGAATGTAATTGCATGTGTAAATTTTGTTATTCAGACATAAAGGAAATCTTATTCGGCACATGGCTGTTCATGATCCAGAATCATCTCTTCAAGAAAAACAACAAGCATTAAAGATGGGCAGACAGAAAAAAATCCAAATTATAGATGGGCAAAGAGTTGAAGTCATGACAGGTATAATTTCGTCGTTGCAAAAGAAAAAAAAAATTACTTCATATATATGTGTATAATTGGTAACGAATCTTGAATTTGCTGTTTCTAAAATAATATTTATATTTTACGAATGAAGAAAATTGTTTTACACATATACGATGAATAATCTAACTGTTAAGAAATTGTAATCACAGGGACACTTACGATATGATCCGTATGCAGATCATTGACTAATATCCGTGTGTTGTGTTATGATAACAGGTGATTTAGCTTCTAAACTTAAAGGTTATGAAGAAGAAGAAGAAGATGAAGATGACATGATGGCGGTCGAAGGAAGCGATGGTCAACAGTACGTTGTATTGGAAGTCATACAACTAGCTGACAATCAAGGAACGGATCAAGTATGTATTATAGTTGAAAGAATATTAATTCATAATGTTTACGTATGCATATAAATTGTTATAATTGTTTCGTTTGTGTTTAGCAGATGGCCGTTGTAGCCAGCGAAGATGGAGATTTAGTGATGCAAGATCCTTTGAGTCAAGAAAGTGGGATTGTGACTGGTACAGGCGAAGAAGGGGATGAAGCAGAAGAAGAAGAAATCGAAATAGATCAATTAAAAATGGAACCAGGGACACCCAATAAATCTTCATCTCAAAACACGCAAAGTGACCCAAAGTTACAGAAAGAAATGGAAACCTGTTTCGGTTTTGACGAGGTAAGTAAACTTTATCTTTTATCACTTTTATCAATTGTTGTTTAAAGACGTGATTTATTCTGACGTGAATTGGTTCTGATATTTTAGGAAGAAGAAGAAGAAGAAGAAGAAGAGGCCAATGCTAACATAAATATATTGCAGACAATTTCGTAATAAGAAGCATGAATATCAGAAAATTTATCTACGTAATAGTCAAATGTTTTATCTCTCTCGCAGTAACAATGTATATACTGCGAGTGCAATTTAATATTATTTAAAGATTTTGAGCATAGCTCCAATGGAGCCAATTTTTGGGGCCAGAGTGGTCTATATGAATGGTACAAGAACAATTTTTGCCATTAGTGCGTTAGATGTACGTAATAATTTATGAAGAAACAGTAGTTTTGTGGTTTAGCAAAATATGACACAGATGTACAATTATAACAATGTAAAATACTTTACTTTATCATCAGTAAAAATCCTCTTTCAAAAATCGTAAACCAGCAAGACCATTACTAATGAAAATAAACATTATTAACGTAGGTTATATAAATATTTTTAAATAATTTATGTTAATATAAAAATATAGAATTTAGCAAAACATTTGAATTGATCGGTTATTGTTGGTACGTGGTTAATGGAAATTACAGAAATTACAGAAATTACAGAGTAAAGTGAGGCTGCGGTGTATATAATTGCTTGTCATTACATTTCATTTTATAGATAAATTTCATTCTATAAATAATTAGAGAAAAGAGCAAGCAATAAATTGAATGATCGAGTTTTGCGATATTTAATATAAATGATATCTGCATATAGGAATGTATATAATAAGGTATTTGTAATACAAAAAAAAAAAAGTTAGAAATTTTTCATTGATCTGGAAAATGTTACATTTGTGATTGTATAGAAGTATTTCATAGTAATAATAAACGATCATCCTATGAATAAGTAAGAATATATACTTAACAAGCATGACTATCATGCCTGTGTGAATATTGGATAAAGTAAATGGCAGAAAGTAACTTGGTGTTAAGTATAATCGACAATTAGTATAATTATGATAATTTTTTTTATTTTATCTTTTTTTAATTATGTTTCTTTCAAAACATGAAATTTTTAGACTGCACCTTCCTTTCCATGCTAATCACAACTACTACAAAGTAGCAAAACGCGAACGTACCAATAAGAAAATGTTGCATATACATATTTTGTATGCATGAATGAAACTTTTAATTAGCTGAATCTGCTTACATTCTGTCGTTTTGTGACAGTTTAGTTCATCGTATGATTTTTTCTTTTTTTTTGTGATTACGTAGCATGGAAAACAATAGTTTCCTATCGATACGAATTACATTATAGATTTCTCTTATCCGATTTCTTGTAAACAATATTCTTACACAGAGTTTTTCATAAATTGTTGCACGTGAGCTATTATATGTACCTTATGGAATCAAGGAGAAATTGATGTTGTAAAAATCCTGTAAAATTTTTTTACACTCGAATTGTATAATTGTATGATTGTACAATTGATAATTACGTGCTATTGTAAGCTGAAGCATACAATATTCCAAAGAAAAAAATGGTGTAGCATTTTTCTCTATAATAAACATTATGTCATCGACAATATCTTGCGCACATTATTTCCGTGTTATCGTTTCGATGTTTGTTAGAAATTAAATTAGTCATTCAACACACCAATTATTTCTTATAGCGAGGTGTATAGACGCCGGAATACGAACGTCTATCCACTTTGTATCCTGTAAATAATCGGCGAAGCGTTTGCTCCCACCTTTAACGATATTAGGAAAAGCCGCACCCAACTGCACCCCCTACGGTCGTTAACCCTATACGTATGTATGTACATACGTTCCACGTATCATCGTCTCGTTTATCAGGGTACATTTATAGAACGTGCGATAGACTACGTAAGAAGTGAATTCTTTTGTATTTGATACATTGAGAAAGAATACAGATATATTAATCTGTATTAATGTATATTATATGTATTATATATATATATATATATACACATTTGTATAGATATATTAATCTGTATTAATGTATATTATATGTATTATATATATATATATATATATATACACATCTGTACAGATATATTAATCTGTATTAATGTATATTATATGTATTATATATATATCTATACTGTATTAATATATATTATATGTATTATATATATATATATATATATATATATATATATATATATATATATATATGTATTTATATATGTATATATATATATATTTCTATAAAGGTTCTGTTCATCAACCCTATCGTTCTTTTCAAGAGGTGCTTCACGACGTGGCCCCACGCGTGCGTCTTTTGCTTCACTTGTTAAGAAGCGACCCTCGAACTCGCCTAAATTTTTAGTTGGGCTCGTTCAGGAGGAGTCAAGAGATTGTGGATGCTCACACTCTTACCGCCAGCCATCCCCCTTTTGTTTTTACGAATTACGTTATGGTGTCTACGATGTACAATGAAGCTTAATAACAAGGGGACCAGATGTTATGTACTTCTCAGGCTCCGTGAATCTCGAGCGGTTCAGGGGTGAGCAAAGATTCAAGGTTTCGGGTGGACAAAGAAATACACAATCGAAAATTTATGGGGATTTGCAAATATTTCAAGGAAATCAAGAATTTCAATTGGTATCGTAGAGTTGTAAATGACTGTAATAATTTATATTACATTATGTTATATTTATGTTATATTAGAAAAATTTAGTGTTTAATTTCATTTTGTATTCTATATTCTCTTTGACAGTGTAATTTATATTGTATTAGAAAAAGTCTGAGGTATTTAAAATTGTCCATGAGATTCAGGTTGTCGAGATTCTCTGATAGGTGGACAAAGGAATAGACAGTAACGAAAATCGACGCGCATTTGCAAATATTTTCGAATATTTAAATTATTTAATAAGTAGAAAGTGTCATGCGAATATTAATTAAATTATTGAATAAGTAAAAATGTCATATGATGAATATTTAAAAAATGTCAAGGAAACCAACTTTCAAGTAGTATCGCAAAGTCATAAATGACTGTAACAATCTGTATTATATTAGAAAAATCTCAGGTATTTATAATTTTCGTATCTTTTATTCTCCTTGAATCGTTGGGAAGACATCTCGAAACTGCATTTTTGTTTGCCTCGGGAAAACAGTAAAAAAACTATTATTTCGATCGAAAACCTATTAAAAATCCAGTCTAATTTCGATTTCGATTACTGGGAAAACGATCGCGGGGTAAAAGTTTTATAAAAGGGCCGGGGAAGATTGGAAAAAGGACGAATTAAAAAAGTTTGATTGTTTAAGAGACAATTATAGTTCTCCTTCGGAACGTCGAAATCTATTAGAGATTCAGTTCAGTTTAAACTTTCAGTTACGATCAAAGAGGTTAAAGATCGTTTAAGTGCCAGGGAAAGTTGCAAAAGGAAAAAACGTTCGACTCAGGAAAATGATTTTGGGTCGATGTTCGTCGAGATTCGATTCACTTTGATTTTTCGATCGTCCAAAATGTAAAAATTGCAAGTGCGAAAAAATGAAGAAATTAAGAGAAAGGAAACGTAAAATGGAGGGGGGGGGGGGGGGGGTCACGAAATGAAGCACCACGTTTCACTCCTGCTCGTGCACCGAACGAATTTAGAGCCCCTTGCGTTGATCCCCGCCTCTAGAACTTCAACTACTGGAGCAGCGAGGTGAAATTTACCTTAAAATCTCCCTGTTCGTTTCCCATTGGCAACATCGAAATTTGTCTCCCGAAATTCGCACCCAAACCATTTCTCACAGTCTCAACCTTCCATCCGTGATCTCACATTTCTTTTTTCTCTGTAAAAAAAAGATCACAAACAGGTTTACTGTGTACATGCATACGTGCTCGTAGAAAATAATTTTTTAATTCGTCGAGGACCAAAGATTAATTTCATTTAACATTTAAATGTTCGATATTTCGCCATTTCTCCCTGTTAGTTCATTTGCAATTTTTTTTCAATTAATTGATATCAACAAAGTTTATTTTTCAATGTTGGATCTATGAGAGTACATTTAGTCAGCGTTATTTCCTCGTTACACCTTCTATCTGAGTTCTACAATTTTGAATTAAAGGAAATTTCGAGAGTTGCTATTTTTTTTTCAATTATCATGCCTGCTCTCAGGTTATAAGATACAGAATCATTATATTTCCTTTCGCAGCTTCAATATTTAAAAAAAAGAACAGATTTTTATTTAAATTATACGATCTTGAATTGAAATTATTAAAATTCGTAGCGAAAGTATATTTTATATATTTTATATATATTATTATTAATTTTTATATATTAATATTAATATTTTATATATATTATATATATTATTAATTTTATATATTAATATTAGTATTTTATATATTTTATATATATTATATATATTATTAATTTTATATATTAATATTAGTATTTTATATATTTTATATATATTATATATATTATTAATTTTATATATTAATATTAGTATTTTATATATTTTATATATATTATATATATTATAATTAATTTTATATATTAATATTTATATTTTATATATATTATATATATTATTAATTTTATATATTAATATTAATATTTTATATATTTTATATATTATATATATTATTATTAATTTTATATATTAATATTATATATATATGTCCTTTTCGATATTGAAAAATAAAATTCGATGGTACAAATTAATCAAAAATGATTGCAAGTGTATAGTACAGTACCCGCGCAAATGGCAGATTTTTTGTAATCTAACGAAATTTCTAACGATCGTTTGGCCCTCAGTCGATTAATAATCACTCTGGATCGATCACATTGACTCTCCTCTTGATATTCTCGATAAATTTCATCCTCGCTCGCTCTGCACACTAGTACAAATGACCATGAATATATTCATTCACATCTCGTGTGTACCTCATAGTCGATGCACTTGGCTCGCACCTCATATCCTGCAAGGACTGTGTTGCGTTATCCAGAAATATGCATCGTGTCAACAGTGTCCTTCGATCGACCATCTTCTCTCATCATTTATATTCTCCCAAAATCTCGAGAATGTTTTAAATTTTTTTTTCTCTCTCTCTCCCCTCTTCTAAAATCGCGAGAAACTTCTGGGTAACGCCGAGAATCGTCGTCACAGTGGACTCAAGCAGTTTTCTCATCATCATACTGATACTAAACGACGATCGTCAGTGTCATGCTTCGATACGCATTCCCAAAAATAGCGATACAGTGATCGTGAAACGATCGTGAGGATTTGGTGGATCACTGTCGGCGAGGAATCATCGATCGTCACTGGTCATTCATTCATTTCATTCGTTTTCTGTTTCCTTTGCGTCTTTACGAAATATTCGGCACGGTGGAACAGGGTAACCTTGAATTTCGAGAAGCGAAATGATCTCTTTCGTTTTCGTTGGCATTTGGTTGAATCATAATTGAATTTAGGTGAAATTTTATACCACGGCTGATCTATGTAAAATACAAAATATTTTAGTATCTATTATGTAAAATAGAGAGTATTTTAGTATCTATGTAAAATACAAAGTATTTTCAGAACTAGATTATTTGGAATGTGTACTGTATATGATTAAATGTTATTAATAATCTCTGTCTCGTAAGATACAAATTTGCCACATGATATTCTAAATACAAATATTCTAATATTTTCACGCAACAGATATCTTTGATTGTGTGTAAAATACAAGTATCTTGAAATTGAATAGGATTTGTATTTTAAAATTGTTATCACTTGTACTCTATATTTCATACGATTAACGCAATTGATAGTTCGTACTAACATTTGCACGAAATAAAAAAATCCTGAAATTAAATTACTCGTACTCAGTGTGAATAATCTCTATAGAAAATATTTTAAAATTTCACCTAAACTCTTGGCAACTCGACGATACCAAACGAGCACTGAATGTAAAAAATTTACACAAACGAAATTTGCCCCATTCAGGAGATGCATAGATATTTCCAGTTTGTCTCAATGATAATCACTGTTTCTCCAATTATTGCAAATAATTCGACCGATCTTCCTCGCGAATTCGCCGGATATCGAAGCCCAGCCAGAGGAGGGAACTCGAGTACCGTTAATAAAATAATCGCGCGATCGTGTCGAGCACAACTGTTTAGGTCCACTGGCGAATACTGCCTACGAATGATTATTGTGCGTTTAGTATTTGCTGACCACTTTGTTAGACGAGACATCAGCGAAATGCGAAACATTTTCTGACCCATTTTCTTTCTTTTTCTTTTTTTTTTCTCACTATCTGTCTCTCATTCATGCCGCGAGATTTTGGAACGACGCGGAAAGATCCATACTTTGAACTAAAATGGAAAATGAACCTTTTGCTCGACACAAAAATTCCAGAAAATATTTTCAGAATTACAAAACATCAGGTAAAAGTTAGAATGGTCTGAAAATTCCAAAAATTTGTTCTTAAAAATTCTTTGAATGTAAAAAGAAGAATTACACGTACAGTTACGTTCCAAAATACAAAGTATGAATATTTATTATTGGGATCCATGTCTGTATATTATGTACGTTTGTAAAAAAAAAAAAAAAAAGATTCCCTTTATTGATATACATA